CTCCCCTCTTTATCATTATTATTATATGGGTACTAATGTTGGGGAGGGTGGTCCCTGGTCAAAAAAAGGTTGGGAACCACTGTTTTGGTAACTGCACAGTGGCAGACAAGAAGGCGCTCCAAAGGGTCACCAATCATTGCCTGCCTAATTGCTCCCCTCTCTGGAGGAATTTTACAGGTCTCGCAGCCTTAAGAAAGCTCAAAGCATTTTGGGGGATCCATCTCACCTAGCATATATTCACTTTTTGAACGATTGCCACCTGGCAAGCACCACAGGGTGACAAAGACAAGGACAAACAGACTGCGAGACTGCTAGAGCAGCAACTATAGTGAACACCGTGGTTATGCAGTGATGTGCCATCGTGATTAGAATGTGGAGGGATGGTGTTTTGCTTTTGCGCTGTGTGCTGGGGAAATGTGTTCAATTGGGTTGTAACTGTGTAGAACAGGCATAGGCAAACTTTGGCCCTCTGGGTGTTTTGGACTTCAACTCCCACCATTCCTAGCAGCCTCCCGGCCTGGGTCCCGGAGCCGGGCCTCCCTGCTGCTTTCTACCCCTGGATGCGCGTGGGAGCACTTACGAAGGGGTGGTCCTTCCTCCAGGCCTTCCTCTCCTGCGCCAGGCGGCTGAGCGCGATCCCGGACATCCTGCGCGTCCCTCTGGAGAGAAGCAGGAGGGGCGGAGTCAGAGGAGGGGGCGGAGCCAAAGAGGGGGAGAGCCCCCCTCCCTCCCTCCCCGCTTCCCTGAGGCGACGGGGCCCTCGAGGAGCCAAAAAACTGAGGGGGCGAAGGGGTTCCTCGCTACCCTCTCCTGCTCTTCCTGCAAAGGCCGCAAGGGGGCCTGACCTTGCCGGGGCCTGGCCTCCCTCCCTCCCTCCCTCCTTTCCCTCCTTCCAGGCCTTCGGTCCAAAGAGAGAGAGAAGGGGGGGGGGATATAGGGAGCGCCTCTTCTCCTTCCTCCCCCCGTTTCCCTCTTCCCTCCTTTCCGGGGAGGCCTCACCGCGAAGCAGCAGCAGCAGCGACGGCACCGGCGCGTGTCCCGGATTCAGGCAGCAGCAACGGCGGCGGCGAGTGACCCGGATGTTCCCCGCTCGCTTTCTCCTCCCCTCCCCTTTTGTCTCGACGATCCTGGACTTTTTTTTCCCCCCTCGCAGGAAGCGGAAGGTCCCTCGGCGCGACCCGTCCGCCCGACTACGCCTGCGCGGTGCGTGCTCCTCAGCCACGCCCCTTTATTGAGCCCGCCAATAAAAACGCATGGGGGCGGGACGGAAGGTGGTTGCTATGGAGACCGAGGGGAGGGGAAAATGGCGCTCCCAGGACCCGGATGAGGGTTTTTTTCTCTCGAGGCAGCCAGCGGGACGTCCCCCTCCGCGCGCCCAAAGGGAAGGGGCGGGGCAAGCAGGCAGGGCAGCCGTTGGGCCCTAGAGCGATCCGAATTCTCTTATTTACGACATTTACATGCCGTCCTTCTCCCCACGAAGGGGACTCAGAGCGGCTTACAAGAGATATATATATACCCACACTCAGGCATGTAGCTGGGGGGGGGGGTGGGGGGCTTCAGCCCCCCCCCCCCCGAAATTCTCATGGTGGTTCGCGAAAAGGCCTTACTGGTACATTATTTAAACTGTTATGTTTATTCATATCATGATCTGATCACCATTCTCAATATATCCCATATGCATGGGGGTATTGGGGTAACAATACAAAAGGTTTGCTAGGGTAGACCCTCTTTCACTCAGACTCAGCCCCCCCCCCCCCGAAACAAAATCCTGGCTATGGGCCTGCCCACACTACCTCTGAGGATGCTTGCCATAGATGCAGGTGAAATGTCAGGAGATAATGCCTCTAGAACATGGCCATATAGCCCAAAAAAATGATGGTTGCTTACCTGTAACCATATTTCTTCGTGTGATGGGAAATTAGCACATGTGATAGCTGATGCACCTGTGCAGCAATCACTGGAAAACTCTGACAAGCTGACAAGCTTGTGGCTGCCGCCCCATCCCTCTTCCCCATGAGGCATATAAGCCAGATAAGGGACTGTAGGTGTAGTTCCCCACCGCTGTAAGCAACCATCATTTCTCCTTTGTGGTGTCTGTTGAAGTAAGCACATGTAATACGACTAGCAAGCCACAAACCTTGGATGGTGGGCGTCATGCCACTGCCCAGAAGAGAACTGCTCTGCCAAATGCGGCATGCCTCCTCGACTGGACGTCCATCTTATAATGGGTGGTGAATGTTAACGGAGTGGTCCAGATCACCGCCCGACAGATATCGTCCAATGGAACTCCACGAAGATAAGCTGCCAGTGTAACGACTGCTGTCGTGGAGTGGCCCCTCAGATGCATAGGCGGATCTTTGCCTGCCATCTGATAGGCAAGTCTAATGGTAGAGACCACCCATGCCGAGAGGCGTTGGGGGGAAACAGGCAGACGTTTGGTGTCACTGCAGTATTTCACAAAAAGCCTAAGAGACTGCCTGAAGTCCTTCGTCCTATGAAGGTAGGAGAGTGCTCTGCAGACATCGAGAAGATGAAGTGCCCGCTCAAGCTCTGTTTGCGGAGCTTGAAAAAATGCTGGAAGCACAATGTCTTGAGCCAAATGATACACCGAAGCGACCTTAGGGAGGAAGGCGATGTCAGTTCTGAGAACCACCTTGTCCCTATGAAACCAGAGATAGGGCTCATCGACATGAAGTGCACACAACTCACTGGATCTGCGAGCCGAGGTGACTGCCACCAAAAAAGCAATTTTCCATGAAAAGTGAGAAAGATCAGCCGTAGCCATAGGTTCAAAAGATGGGTTCATCAATGCTGACAACACAAGGTCAAGCTGCCAAGAGGGAGGTGGAGGGGAGACTGGTGGTCAGAGATTCCTGTACCCTCTAAGGAATTAGAGTTGAACAAGAGGGTCCTGAAACCATGAGGAGCCACCTTCCCTACGGCAATATGCTGAGAGTGCAGCAAGATAGCACTTTATCGAAGAAAGCACCAGGCCCTTGTCTGCCAACCTCGCAAGGAACCGAAGAAGGAGTGAAGTAGAGGTTGCACACCATGCTGGCGTGTAAACGCAGCAAAGCATTTCCATTTTGCCTCATATGAGCGCTGTGTTGATAGGTGGTGGCAGCATCTTGTTTCAACAGACACCACGAAGGAGAAACCTACAACAACCCAGAGATTCCAGCCATGAAAGCCTTTGACAATACAAGATATATATACATACAATATATTATATTATTAGCATAGTACAATATCAACGCTGCCTCCGGAAAATCCTGTAAATCTCTTGGGCTCATATCAATTACATATTTTCTATTCCTATCTCTCCCGGGTTTTATCCTTTTATCTTGTCTATTTGGCCTGCCCAAATAGACAAAATATTGGGTGAATTTGCTTTATTATTTAATTTTGTTATTGTAATTTATTTTCTGATGCATTTTGATTTTTGTATTCTGTATTTTACTGTGTTGTATTTTAAAAGGGCTTGGCGTCATGTTAGCCACCCCGAGTCCCCATTGGGGAGATGGTGGCGGGGTATAAAGTTGTTTATTATTATTATTATTATTATTATTATTATTATTATTATTATTATTATTGGGAAGACAAGTGGACAAATGTCAGTGTGCTGGAAGAAGCAAAGACCACCAGCATTGAAGCGATGGTCCTCCGCCATCAACTCCACTGGACCGGCCACGTTGTCTGGATCCCCGACCACTGTCTCCCAAAGCAGTTGCTCTACTCCAAACTCAAGAACAGAAAACGGAATGTTGGAGGGCAGAAAAAGAGATTTAAAGATGTGCTCAAAGCCAACTTTAAAGACTCTGGCATAAACACTGAGAACTGGGAAACCTTGGCCCTTGAGCGCTCCAGCTGGAGGTCAGCTGTGACCAGCAGTGCTGTAGAATTTGAAGAGGCACGAATGGAGGGCGAAAGAGAGAAACATGCCAAGAGGAAGGTGCATCAAGCCAATCCCGACTGAGACCGCCTTCCACCTGGAAACCAATGCCCTCACTGCAGGAGAAGATGCAGATCAAGAATAGGGTTCCACAGTCACCTAGGGACCCACCAGTACGCTGACCTTGGAAGACTATCCTACTTGGACAATGAGGGATCGCCTAAGAAGACAATATCAGTATTATATATTACTATATTGTACTATACCATGATATTGTATAGTACATTTATATTTCTTTATTTACAATATTTCTGCCCTGCCTTTCTTGAACCCGAAGGTGACTCAAGGCGGCTTTACAACATAGGCAGCTTTATATCCCGCTTGATCTCTTCATATAGAGACTCAGAGTGCCTCACAATTAAAACCATTACAATACAACTTAAAATATACAATAATAAAACAGTATTATATATTATCAGTAGTATAATTAATGTATTTTATATTGCAATATTATTATATATTATATTGAATTTAATATTTTATTATATTTCAATATTATATGTATAGACAATATATTATATTAGCATAGCACAATATTAATATATATTGTACTATCTGCTATATTGCAATATTATTAGTACTATTATATATAATATATATATTTCAATCAGAGGAACACTGAATCCTCAGTAAGAGCTCTGTCTCCGATCTAGTCTTTTTGGGAAATATTTTAGAAAGGCTTCCTTATATACCTGAGTCCCTTCAGGGAGACACGTCGGGTTAAAAATAAAGTATATTATTTATAATTACCTCGATGATAGTCTTTGGGGACCCAGTTTGGGAGCCACTGCTCTTTGTGGCAGATGAGACACTGGCCCCCTTTTTAAAGCAATCCAACACTCCAGCAATTAGCCTAGGCATGGGCAAACTTCAGCCCTCCAGATTTTTTGGACTTCCACAATTCCTAACAGCCAGTAAGCTGTAAGGAATTGTGGGAGTTGCAAGTCCAAAAGCCTGGAAGGCTGAAGTTCGCCCATGCCTGGTGTAGACAATAGGCAACACCATAAGGGAGCAAGTATATATGGACTAAATGACAAACGTTCGCAACTAGTCCCAAAAGCTGTTTAATTCCACCATCTCAGACACAGGCAAGAGTGCTAGAAAGCCTCCTGGGAGAGGCCGTGGGCTTCCCTACAGAACAGAGCATAAATACAGGCTCTGTTAAAAACCTATCTGGAAAACATGCTAAAAGTGTCCTTTAAACACAGTGCACTAAAAAAAAAGCTCCAGTTGTGTGTTTTCTTCACATTGAACAACACAAACCTTCCGTCGTGAAACCACAAGCGTTTGCGGCAGGCAGGGGCTCCCTTGCCGAAACGCCAGAACTGCATAGATCAAGAGAATGTAGAAATAACTGTAAACATCTGGAGGGCAGGGACCCCTCCTTCCTGCTGCTGGGGCCAGAGACCCAGCCAAAGACTCTCTGGCTTCCATCCACATAGGGCTCCCCAAAGCCTGGCTCTATGCACCTTGCTGGGGAAAGGTCCCCAGGCCCAAACAAACTGCAGGCTTGCAAGAGACAGAGAGGAAGGCCCAAAAGGGATGCACAAAAGAGGGGAAGGGGGGCTGGTTCGGATGTAGCACCAAGTAGGTTCCCCAGGAACAGCCTCAAAGGAGGGAAACCCAAATCGGTCTCTGTCCAGCCAAACAGGCCCAGGCCAGGTCCCTCCAGATGGAGGTGCAGTGGAGGCAACAATGACCACTCTGCTCCTTTTGTGGGCCCTGTTCAGTGCCCATTGTCCCCAAAGGCCTGCTCCTCTGGAGAAGGTCCCAGGTCCAGGTCGGCAGAAGGGATCAAGGAAGGAGGGCCTCCCTGGCAGTGCTGGCCATCTTTCCAAAGCAAGGTATCCTCCGCTCTGCATCGGGGCACAGCTACATCCTGGAGCCTCGTTCCTGCAGGATCTGGAAGAGAGCAAGGGGGAGGAATGGGAGATGACACAGCGCCTTAGGAGGGCTCTCTGCTGGAAAAAGGAGGGCAAAGGGCAGTGAAGAAAGCCCCCTCCATCTCTACGGTCCCAGGGAGGGAGCCAGCCACTCTGGTCTTTGGACCACTCTGCAGACAAAGCGGCCAGGCCCTTCTGCCACAATCCCTGCAAAGCTGACTGGACAGGCTGCTGCCCAGGCCTAGCACCCCCCCCCCCCCCCCCCCCCCCGCACAAGCTTACTGGATTCATGTGGCTTCCTGTTTAAGCACAATTTTCTCTGGTTGAGCATATTCTCAGTAATCTACTATCCCAAACTGAGAGTCTTAGTCTCTGCACAAGCTCAGTTCTGGGGCCAATACCTCAGTAATCTGGATCCTTACCTGGATCCTCAGCTAAGGGCCATCAGCCCAATTCCCATCCCAATTCTTCCTGCTGAGCAGCTTCTGGGAACCCACAAAGCAACAAAAGCACAACGGGGCTACTTAGAAGGGGCAAGGTGCCCTTCATGTCCCAGGGGCAGCTCCTTCCTTCCCTCCCTTCCTCTTCAAATGACCCCTTTGCCTCCAAAAGCAAAATCCAATGACCCAGGGATCCAGGTCCTCAGGGGCCCCAGGCTGGGGGGGGGGGGGGGGAGGTTAGCAGGCCCCACAGGATCAGGGCCACAACAGACTGCTTGCTCCATCATAGAAGCTCTGCTTGTGGAGAAGCCACCAGCCCCAGAGAGGCTCAGTGCAGGGCCAGGCACAGCCCCTTCTCCACTACAGGAAGGGGACCATGGCAGACTGACAGACCCAAAGAAAGGAAGACATTTCACCTGCTCCCCCATAGCCTGGAGAAAGGACCAGATGTCACTGCCATAGTGGGAGATTACACAAACAATTACTGTGAATTGTTCACACATTGCTCACTGGGGAAATTGAAACAGATATTTTCTGAGCCTAGTCTTGGGAGAGGCCCCTGATTTCTCAAACCCCTCACCCACTGACAACCAGAGCCCACATGCAGCTCTGTGCTCTCAGGGGGACCCTTGCCTCCCCCCAGCTTGTGCCATCTCCAGTGTCTCCACTGGCCATTCTGCAGTCTTCAACTGTCCCCTGAAGACAAAGGCCTTGCAGAACCACCGTCTCCAGCATCCATCTGCCTCATCAGAGTTAACACATTCCTCCTTCCCTCCCCAGTGCTTGGGCAGAGACTTAGGTCTACAGCTGCCTTGGGGACACAGGAGCAGCCCTGCTGGTCAGGAGTCACAAGGAGGGAGACCAGATGATCCAACGCTGGCTGGCTGGTTGACTGGCCAAGGGAGAGGGGAGTGGAGAGAGTGGCTGGAGAGGCAGCCCATGAAGAGGGAAGAGGCCTTCTTCCATTGAGGAGGGCCTTTCCCAGTTCAAGGAGCCCTTCCCACTGAGCTGTGCCTGAATGAAGGACGGTGCCCCCTACCTGCTGACAAGCTCCTTTCCTCCGCCTCTGGCTGGAGGAGCGCTTCGGCTGAGGTTCCAGAGACCCCAAGGCAGCCAAGGCAGAACCAGGTCCCACTGGCGGCAGCAGAAAGGGCCTAGGGATGCCTCCCCCAAATGTCAGCCAGCAAGTCCCTCTCTTTGTAGCACAACTGCCAACATCTTGCCACTTGGTCCATTCCCATCTGACAGGATCCCAGGAGGGATTCTACTGGCTGCTACTTCACAGGGCCACACTAATCTCCTGTGCAACCCCACTGGTGTCCTCTTTGCTTCTCCATCAGTGCTAAAACAGGGGCAGGGGACTAGATATACAAGCAAAAGCAGTCTCAGGCCTCCCCCAATGGAGATTCACTCCCTTCACAGCAAAATAAGCCACAACGCACACTTCCATGGAAGTAACTAGCACACACTTGGAACGGAAGGAGGCCTAGAAGCACATTCCCCGCCTTGGGGGGGGGGGGGGTTAAAGGCAGCCACAGCACAACGACACAATGCACTAGCGATGGAGGGCAGGGGCAGATTGCTAGTGCTCACCGTGGCACTCATACTCAATCTGAGTCATTCACATCGTAATCCGTCTCCTCGTCTTCGCTCTGAAAGGCATGCAGCGAGTGTAAAGAAAGGAAAGGGAGGAAAAGAAAAAGAGTGCAAGTTGAGTCAAGCCAAAGCCAGCGCTGGTGCCGTGTGCCGTGGGCAGAGAAAGGGGAGAGAGTGTTAAGTGGAGGAAGGGTCACCATTGAGAGGAGAGCCCTGCGGTGCAAAGGAAGGAAGGCCCAAAGGGAGGAGTGCCTTCTTTGCAGAAAGGCTAGCCAGGAGCTGGTCCTGGGGCAGTCCCAGACAGAGCAGTGCAGGAGCCAAGCCAGCAGCAGAAAGGCCTGAAAGCCCAGGCCTTGCAGAGTAACTCCCTGCCCCCCCTCTTTTGCTCCGCTTCCTTACAGTGTTCTTTCCTTAGCCAAAGTTCACTCACAGCCACAAGCACAAGACCAAGCTGCTTTATGCCATGGTGAAAGACAACTCATCTTTATAAGCAGTATATTTTTAAGAAAAGAGAAAAAACATGCACAGATGCAGCCTCAAGACAGGAAGACTACCCCACAACATCCCTTTGTCCTTCTCTAAGTCTTTTGGTTTAGCTGGAATCTGTCTTTTTAACAAATAAGGCCTACAGAGCATAACTAAGTCTCAAGTGCTTCCTTCACAAATGAGCAGCCCATTGCCTCTTTGCAAAGAGAGGGACCATCAAAAAGCAAAGGTACTGAGTGACAGAGCAACAAGCTGGCTTCTGCATTATCTAACACACAGCTTGTTAATTTTGAAAATCAGCAGAACCCAAGGCAGCAAGCAACGTAAGCACCAGCTTCATGTGCTTACAACAGCAGCAGCAGCTCAGAGGCCACTGGGAGCTATCCAGAGATAGGGGTCGCACCTTGTCCCTTGACTCACCTTTGCCTTCTCGCTGGGTTCACTGGCCATGCCATAGGGAGTGTTATGCAGCTCCTTGGAGACAACACACAAGAACTCAGCCTGGTCTTCGTTCCCGTAGTTGTAGGAAGACCCGATGCTGACCAGCTGGAAGAGAGGAAGAAAGGATCAGGGAAAGGGCTCTGTCCAATGCAACAGGAGGCAGCGGGACAGAGGGTCACAACCCTGTGCCCCCAAAATACTGCCTTGCCCTCTTCGTCCTTCGTCCCCAGCAGCTGACTCACTGTCCCCTACCTGCTCAAACTTCCAGCCATCGGACATAGTGGAGACCATCTGGGTCAACTCTTCCTCCTGGCACTGGAGCACCCGGTAAACATGCTTGATGGGCACCTGAGGGAGAAATACACATGACATGGAGAGAAGGAAGGTGGAAAGATGGGAGGGAAGGAAGGAGGAAAGGAGGGAGGCAGGGGAGGAAGAAAGGGAAAAGAGGAGAAGGAAACAAGGACAGAAGGAGGGAGGGAGAAAAAGAGGAGGGAAGAAAGAGGAAGAAAAAGAGGAAGGATGAAAAAGGAGGGAGGGTGAAGAAGGGAAGGGAAAGAAGGAAGCAAAGAAGGAAGAAAGGAGGGAGGAAAAAGGAGGGAGGGAGGACCAAACCATGCCTCAGACATGACTGAATGAAAAAATGAGTGCCTCCAGATTGAGCAGGCCCTCCTCTGGCCCCAGAGCACCCTGTAACTGCACTTCCAACACTAGCAACATGCTAGGTGCAAAAGGAAAAGGAATGATTAAAAGAGGGTCTCACCTGTGAGGTTTTGCTGTCTCTTTCCCTTATTTTATCCTTCACAAGTTTGATTAACGAAGTGATGTTGTAGAATTCAGCTTCTTCAAGCACACCTGATACAAAAGAATCTCCATTAGCCCTGGAGCCTTTCCTGCCTGGAACTCAATGGGGCCGAAACCCTGAGGTGAAGGCAATGCAGCATGACAGGAACCCAAGGGATTGGAAGAAATAGCAAATAGCTGCTGCCAAGGACTGCTAAGCCCCCAGCAACACAACCTTCCAGTCATTTGAACTCCAGGCCCCATTTCTAAACCACCACCACCACCAAAGGCCCCAGTACAGGAAATTAAGGTGCAAAGGCCACAAGAAGCTGCCAAACTGGAAAGCCTTGCTCGCTTTGCTACTGAAGTGAAGATTCCACCAAAAGCCTCCCCACAAACCACTTTCCCTCCGCAGTTATAACACCTACCTTCCTCTGCAAGGTCTTTATTGATAACCAGCTTCCCGTGTCGGAGATAGTTCAAAACTGGCCCAAAGTAAGTCGGGTCCCTGTCTATTAAGTAGGCACCTGTTTCATCCTAATTTACAAGAAAGGTATTTATTCAGTTGGTGTCTTAGTCCACATTTTAACAACCTTCCCCCCCAGAGTTGATTATGAATGGGGAAAAACCCCACTTAATTTAAAACCAGTGTTTGTTCTCTAAATGTATGGAATCTAGCTCTTTAAGGGCAACCTACCAGAGGAAGGTTTTAATTTTTACTAGGCGGATTTATTTGTTAGCTGCCTTAAATCCCTATTTGGAGAAAGGGGGTGGAAATAAAACAACAACAATGTTGTTAGCTGCCTTGAGTCCCTATGGGGGGTAAAGGTAGGATAGAAATAATGATACTATTACTACTGCTGCTGATATGAAGAATGGCAATATTGTTAGTCACCTTGAGTCCCTATTTGCAGAAGGGGGGGGGGGTTAATAATATAATAATAACAATGATGATAGACCTTCAAACCAAAAAAAGGGCAGCATACAGTTTTATCTGAGAAATGAACCCCAAGTTTAAAGGCTTCCCTGGACCAACCAGATTATTTTCTTGCTTTGTTTATTTTGTCAATAGAAACAATCCAAACCACAATCCCTTGTTGTTCCCAGAACAAGTATGGAAACATGCTCCAGGGTGGTCCATATGGGCCATCCCTGCCAGCAGAAATCCTTTGGTTTGTCAGGAGATTGCATTGGGCTTGTGAGAGGCGTTGCTCTGCAAACGTTGTGAAATCTGAAACACAAGGGAAACAGGACTTTCTTGACAACAGCCTGGGCAAGTCCAGACTGGCTCCCCGACGTGATCAATATGATCCCAGGGGTGGATCAGGGGCAGGGAGGCAAGGCAGGATCTGTACCTGAGCCTAACCTCTGAAGCAGAAAAGAGATGAAAAGGTTTGACCTTTGTTTCGAATGAGGGATAACCTTTTGTCCAAACACGTAAACGTTGGGATATGAATAATCAAATCTGCAAAAATTAAACCTGCAAACGTGAAGAGTCAACTCTTCCAAAATGTAATCACAAATAACTTCTGGGATGGAGAGAGGAAGAGAAAACACTGAGTACTGGAAATCAGTAATATAGAAAACATGGCCATTGTGTGTTTCATAATCAGTGTTTTCTTCTTTACTTTAAATTTCAACTAAGATTTAAAGGAGGAGCTCTCTGCAAACAGCAAGTGTTGAAGACCCCTCTACTCATTTTTTTAAAAAATGAGGCAAGTATTAAAGCATTTCCATGTCTTCTTGTACAGCAGAGGGAACACAGGAAGGAAGGCCTCGGGGGATTTAGGCAGGATTCTAGAGTTGTAAAAGAATCTAAAGAGCATCCAGTCCAACTTCTTTTTGCCGGGAAGGGAGGCACCATCTGATCCCTCCCAAGATGGCGGTCCAGCTTCTGCTTAAAAACCTCCAGAGAAGAAAGGAGAACCCCTTTCCAGGAGGAAGAATGAGGAGAGATATGGCAGAAGCACCCTTTCCTTTCCAATCCATATCACAGGGGCCCTGAGTTACAAACATCTGGTGTACAAACGACTCCTAGTGAAGAACAGGGTGAGACATCAGGAAGTGAGAGAAATCCATTTCTAGGAAGTAAAATCTACTCCTGAAAGAGTTATTTATTATCAGGGGGGAAAGGGGTCTCAGTTGAAGCTTTATCCCAAATTCTTATTTCCACAACAAAACACGTTTTCCAAAATCCAATTCTCACAGAGACAGAAAGCGAGGTGAAAACCTCTGAACTGAGGCACAGACAGTAGAACAAAGTCCACAGAGGTGTTAAGCATTCCTTATGATATCCAAATCTGTCCTGATTCTAAACCAGTGCCTGTCATCACTAATGGACTGGATGAAGACAAACACATTGAAACTTAATCCAGACAAGACAGAGGTACTCCTGGACAGTTGGAAAGCAGATCAGGGAATAGGGATCCAGCCTTTGGTGGATGGGGGTCACACTCTCCCTGAAAACACAGGTTCACAGTTTTGGGATCCACCTGGACTCAGCATTGAACCTGGAGGCCCAGGAGAGCCTTTGCACAATTAAGACTTGTGCGCCAACTGCACCGTTCCTTGAGAAGCCAGATCTGGCTATGGTGGTCCATGCCTTAGTTACATCCCATCTGGATGACTACCCTTCTTTCGGTCCCACCTCCATCTCAAGCTCAATTGGTGGGAACAAGAGAAAGAATGGGCCTACCTTCTGGTAGCAAATGCCCCTCAACTCTGGAACGCCCTTCTTCTTCCCAGGGAAGTCAGAATGGCCCCCACCCTGCTGTCCTTCAGGCAATTTTTTAAAAAGGTTTTTCAGATCATATGGGGCTGTTGTGATTTGATATGATTTTAATCATGTTTAATACTGTTTTAACACTTGTATATTCGTATACTTTAAGTTGTATTGCAATGTTTTTAGTTGTGAGCAGCTTTGAGTCTCCGTATGGAGAAAAAGTGGGATATAAATAAACATTTTTTATATATACACACACACATATACATACATACATACATATATAAAATTAAATAAAACTTTATTTATACCCCACCCATCTCCCAAATAGGAACTCAGAGTGGCTTACAATCATAAAATAAAACATAACCAATAATATAAACAAGGTAGATAACATATCAAATTAAAACAAAACACAAAACAACCAAAACATCAGTAAACAATTCTATATAAAAGCAGTTTAAACAACATTAAAAATCCCAGCCATTGCTCTGGTAAGGATAGCCATAAAATCTGACTGATAGTTAATAAAAATACATTTTGCCATTGCTGAAGGCCTGTTTAAAAAGCCAAGTTTTCAATTCCTTCCTAAAGATCATGAGCACTTGCCTAATCTTTTATATAGTCTATATCAGGGGTCCTCAAACTAAGGTCCGGGGGCCGGATAGGGCCCTCCAAGGTCATTTACCCAGCCCTCGCTCAGGTTCAATCTCAGTCTGAAACTACTTGAAAGCACACAACGACAACTCTATTTCATCAGCGAAAAGCAGGCCCACACTTCCTATTGAAATACTAATAAGCTTATATTTGTTAAAATTCTTCATTTTAATTATTGTATTTTAAAGTGTTTTTGCACTACAAATAAGATACGTGCAGTGTGCATAGGAATTCGTTCATTTTTTTTTCAAATTATAATCTGGCCCTCCAACAGTTTGAGGGACTGTGACCTGGACTTCTATTTAAAAAGTTTGAGGACCCCTGCGCTACATTATATATTACATGTACTATTACTAATAATATTGCAGTATAGGGGTATAGTACAATATAATAATACATACTACTAATATTGTGCTATGCTACTAGATTATATATACAAATATTAACAATGTTATTATAATGGAATACAATATACTAATAACAATATAATATAATATTGTAATATAATAATACTAATATATTAAATATAATACTACTGATAATATATAATAATATATAATAATATACTGTTTTATTATTGTATATTTGTACATTTTAAGTTGCAATATTTTTTATTGTGAGCCTCTGTGAGTCTCCATATGAAGAGATAAAGTGGGATATAAATAAATAAACAAAAATTTCCCTGGGGAGGGTTTTCCAAAGTCGGAGGGACCGCTACCAACCATGCTTGTGATGGTGATGGAGGAGGGCCTCACCAGCAGATCTTAAGATCCGAACAGGTTCAGAGGGGAAAATAGATAGATAGATATGGTTGGAGATACACTTAAAACTTGTGTACCAGTTGCGCCCATACCTTGAGGCACCAGATGTGGCCAAGGTAGTCCATGCCTTAGTCATATCCCGTTTGGACTACTATAAAGCTCTCTATGTGGGGCTGCCTTCGAAGACAGTTCGGAAGCTTTAATTGGTATAGAGATCGGCAGCCAGATTACTAACCAGAGCTCTGCACAGGGAGAGATCCACTCCCATGTTGCAGCAGCTCCACTGGCTTCTGGTCTGCTTCCAGGCTAGATACAATGTGCTGGTCATTATCTTTAAGTGGTTCAGGTCCAGGCTACTTGAAAAACCGCATATCCCCTTATAAGCCAACTTGAACATTGTTGTCAGCAGAGGAAGCCCTAATCTCGGTCCCACCCCTGGTGGGAACGAGAGAAAGGGCCTTCTCCATAATTGCCCATCACCTCTAGAATGCCCTCCCTTACCTCTTCTCCTTCCAAAAACAATAAAACCTACTTGTGCTTTCTAGCATACGGAGAAGAGGAGGACTAAAGAATGACAGTCAGCTAATACACCTCCAACCGGATATTATCCCTGCACTTTGGCCCTGGTAGGTAGGCTAGCACCATGGACATTACTGCAATTATAGTTAATTTTAAATCTTTTAATGAACCTTTGGGAGTTTTATAAATTGAGATTCATGTTTTTATTGTTTGATATAATTTTACTGTTTAACTGTTTGTGTAATTTAAGTCTTCTATATATATAAATTTGTTAGGGGCATCCAACGAGGAAACAAAACTCAAAAACCCCCCAACGAAACTTAACCAAAATTCCCATGCCCATAACACAACCCACAAGGTACAAACATATCTACTCAAAATGAAAAACAACACAACAACACACTCACAAAACGGCAAAACAACAAACTCAAAAACCCCAATGAAACTTAACCAAAATTCCCATGCCCATAACACAACCCACAAGGTACAAACATATCTACTCAAAATGAAAAACAACACAACAACACACTCACAAAACGGCAAAACAACAAAACGCAAAAAACCCCAACGAAACTTAACCAAAATTCCCATGCCCATAACACAACCCACAAGGTACAAACATATCTACTCAAAATGAAAAACAACACAACAACACACTCACAAAACGGCAAAACAACAAAACTCAAAAAACCCCCAACGAAACTTAACCAAAATTCCCATGCCCATAACACAACCCACAAGGTACAAACATATCTACTCAAAATGAAAAACAACACAACAACACACTCACAAAATGGCAAAACAACAAAACTCAAAAAACCCCAACGAAACTTAACCAAAATTCCCATGCCCATAACACAACCCACAAGGTACAAACATATCTACTCAAAATGAAAAACAACACAACAACACACTCACAAAACGGCAAAACAACAAAACTCAAAAACCCCCCAACAAAACTTAACCAAAATTCCCATGCCCATAACACAACCCACAAGGTACAAACATATCTACTCAAAATGAAAAACAACACAACAACACACTCACAAAACGGCAAAACAACAAAACTCAAAAAACCCCAACGAAACTTAACCAAAATTCCCATGCCCATAACACAACCCATAAGGTACAAACATATCTACTCAAAATGAAAAACAACACAACAACACACTCACAAAATGGCAAAACAACAAAACTCAAAAATCCCCCAACGAAACTTAACCAAAATTCCCATGCCCATAACACAACCCACAAGGTACAAACATATCTACTCAAAATGAAAAACAACACAACAACACACTCACAAAACGGCAAAACAACAAAACTCAAAAATCCCCCAACGAAACTTAACCAAAATTCCCATGCCCATAACACAACCCACAAGGTACAAACATATCTACTCAAAATGAAAAACAACACAACAACACACTCACAAAACGGCAAAACAACTGAGCATGCGCATTGGCGCCCAGCCGCAAGTTCCATCGCGCGCACACATGGCCTTCCGGCCAACGTTCCCTCTGCGGAAACCATGCTCACTCCAAGCCCCGCCGCGCCGCTTCCCGCACACACACACACCCTGCCGCACGCACACACGCAACCCCACACTCCATCACTCCCCCCGCCGCCGCACACACACACGCAACCCCACTCCCCCCACCGCCGCACACACACACGCAACCCCACACTCCATCACTCCCCGCTGCTGCACTCACACACGCACACACCCCCACTCCCCCCGCCGCCGCACGCACACACGCAACCCCACCCTCCCCCCGCCGCCGCACGCACACACGCAACCCCACGCTCCATCACTCCCCCCCGCCGCCGCACGCACACACGCACCCCCACTCCCCCGCCGCCGCACACACACACAACCCCACGCTCCATCACTCCCCCCGCCGCCGCACACACACACGCAACCCCACGCTCCATCACTCCCCCGCCGCTGCACACACACACGCAACCCCACGCTCCATCACTCCCCCCCCGCCGCCGCACACACACACGCAACCCACTCCTCCCTCCCCCCGCCGCCGCACACACACACGCAACCCCACGCTCCATCAATCCCCCCGCCGCCGCACACACACGCAACCCCAGCTCCATCCCCCCCCCCGCCGCCGCACACACACACGCAACCCCACGCTCCACCCCCCCCCGCCGCTGCACACACACACACACCCCACGCTCCATCACTCCCCCACCCCAATCTTACCTCCTTTTACTTCACGCCACCTCCAAACCCCACCCCGCCCCTTCCTGCCCTGTCAAAATCTAGGAAAGACAGGAAGGAAGGAAAGAAGGAAGAAAGAGAAAGGGAGGTAAAGAAAAAGGGGGAAGGAAGGAAAGTTAGAGAAAGAAGGAAGAAGAAAAGGAAAGAAAAGAGAGACAGCAGAAGAGAAAGAAAAAGGGGGAAGGAAGGAAAGAGATAGAGAAAGAAGAGGAGAAGGAAAGATGGGAGGGGAAGGAAGGAAGGAAGGAGGGAAAGAAGGAGAGAAAGAGGGAAGATTGGCCACAGCAACACGTGGTGGGTAAAGGTTGTTATTTCTATTATTATTATTATTATTATTATTATTGCATTATTGTTATTATTATGATGGTGGTAAAATAAAAGGAAATAAAAAGTGAAAGAAGGAAGCAAACAGGGAGGGAAGAAAGGCAAAGGAAGAAAGGGGGAGGGAATGAAGGAAAGAGAGAAGAATGAAAAAGAAGGAAAGAAAGAAAGAGGTAGAGAAGGAAGAAAGGAGAGAAAGGGGGAGGAAAACGGGGAAGGAATAGGTAGGGACCTCTCTTTCATAATAGTCCAGATATCTACCTCAACTTTGATAAGTTTTACTATAGGCCACAGCAACGCGTGGCAGGGCACAGCTAGTATGTTATAATTTGTTGTTCAGTGTCAGTTTACTTTGGGATTTGGTGGATAGTCATGTTTACACTTGTCTCCGTGGTTGCTCTGTCTCTCTGAAATACCCTCCCCATCCAAGTTAGAACAGTCCCCTCCCTCCCCTCCTTTTAAAAACACCTTTAAAAACTAATCTATGCTCCATAGCTTATGATGAGTAATGAAACCCCCCTCCTTCCTGACTGATGTCCTGTCAAGGGTTTACACATTCATAGAACCACTATTACATTTATATTTTATATATCTAAAGTCTATATTTACACAGCACTTATAACTATTACACTTTATGAGGTCTAATTATTTGTCCTCCCCATAGTCTATTTTATATGCGCTATTTAATGATGATGTCTTTATCATATCAGGAGCGAACCAAGAGTACAGTTGTGATGTATTTGTGAAAACACAAAGTTTAGAAACTTGGCATTATATTAAATGTCCTTTCACCAGTAGCTGGCCACTTGGGGTGCCTCTGGTGTTGCTATAAGAAGGTCATCCATTGTGGGGACATGAGAGGAGCCTCCCCGCAGGATTGCAACACATTCAGGTGTCCCCTGGGCAACGTCTTTGTAGATGGCCGATTCTCTCTTTCTAGAAGTGACTTTTATGGTGCTGTGTTTTTATGCTTGCATATGGCATTGAATTTGCCTTCGCACTTGGAAGCTGCCCCGAGTCCCTCTGGGGAGAGGGGTAAGAAATAACATTTTTTATATAATTATTACTATTATTTTACTGACACAAAAGCACAGTATGTCACAGCAAACGAGATCTATATGCTGGATTTCGTATGAAAAAATCACAAGTTGAACACTTCCCAAGCATCTAGGACTGTGTGATGTATTTCTGAATGATGTGCGCTGAATTATTATTATTATTATTATTATTAGAATCCGCCCTGAGTCAAATAAAGTCTTATTATTTGAGCGGAGAAAGGAGAGGGCCTGAGGCTGCTGTTAGGAATGGTGGAAGTCCAAAACACCTGGAAGGAGGGCTGAAGTCTGCCCAGGCCTGCTCTATGCCCACCTTGTCGGAGTCGAGGTCGGGGTCGGCCTGGCAGAGGCGGAAGAGGAAGCTCTTGGGGTCGCGGCAGAGCGTCTGCCGGGTGGTGAGGAAGCAGGTGCCGCCCACGTTCAGCCGGACCCACTTCCCGGGCGACGGCGCCCCCAACGCTGAGGAGGCCGAGGCCGGGCCGGGGCCCAAACGGCAGGGGGGAGCCGCCACCGCCGCCGCCGCGGAAGAAACCAAAGCCGAGGGAGGGCCGCCCCAGGAGAGTAGCGACGACGACGAGGAGGACGACGACGAGGAGGAGGAGGAGCCGCTGGAGCTGGAGCTAGAGCATCGGCGGCGGCACGAAGAGGAGGAGGAAGGCCCGAGGGGGGCCGACGGCGGAGGGGCCATGGGCAGCTCGCAAGAACTCTCCGCCGCCATCTTGGCTGCGCGCCGGAAGTGACGCTCCCGAAAGGCGTCCCCCGAGCCGAGGACGTGCGCGGCCTTAGCGAGGGCACATGCGCATCTCCTCGGCGACCGGCCAAAGCAAGGAAGAAGGCTGAAGGGAAAGGGAAACCTGGAGGAGCCCAGGGCAAGGCTTGTTTCCTGCTGCTCGGGAGACTATGGCTTCTTTCACACAGCTGAATAAAATCCCACATTATCTGCTTTGAACTGGAACATATGGCAGCGTGAGCTCAGATAGCCCAGTTCAAAGCAGATATTGTGGGGCAGAAAAGCCTTGATATTATGTTTTAATATGTGTAGTTTAAAGAATTAGATGAACGTGTGTTTGAGCCATGTTGTAACCTGCCTCAACCCGTGCAGGGAGGCGGTCAAGAAATATGATGATGATGATGATGATGGAAGGGTTTCATGCCCAGAATCACTGGGCTGCTGAGTTTTTCAGGCTGTATGACTGTGTTCCAGCTGCATTCTCTCCTGATGTTTCTCTTGCATCTAATGGCATCTCGGAGGTTCTGTTGCTAGTGAGGCAAGTGGGGTGTATATATACTTGTGGAATAATGTCCAGGGTGGGAGAAAGAACTCTTTGTCTCTTTGAAGCAAATGTGAGCATTGCAACCTCTAAGCTACCTCTATGCAAATACCCCTACTGATTGACTTTTTTTAATAGTTGCAAGCTGGGTAGATGCGGGGAATGCCGTGGATGTATCCAGATTTCAGTAAGGTCTTCAACAAGTCCCCCATGACCTTCTGGCAAACAAACTAGTCAAATGTGAGCAAGGCAAAACTAGTTAGGTGGATCTGTAATTGGTTAAGCAAACGAACCCAGAGGATGCTCACTAATGCTTCCTCTTCATCCTGTAAAGAAGTAACAAGTGGAGTGCCGCAGGGTTCTGTCCTGGGCCCGGTCCTGTTCAACATCTTTACTAATGACTTAGGCCTTTCCCATCCCAAAGCCCTCCTTGTGGCTGAGGCCCTCTCCTCCAGAGGAAACCCACAGAAAGGGCCTGTCAGCTCTGGTCAAAGAAGATGATCTCAGCCCTTTCTGCCTCCAGTCAACCCAAAGTGGAGAGCGAAGGCCCTGCAGCAGCTGATCTGCTGGGGATCCTTTGGGGCCAGCCACCCGCCCATGTTTCCTCTCAGTGCACAAAAGGGAAGGCTGCTTATGAGAACCGCCCTAGTATTTGGGGTCTGGAGGGAATGGCGTTTAGAGCCCCACCCCCACAGTTTGGTCCAACCCGATGGGTGGCTGGCGCTGAGAAAGCAAGGCCTTTCGCCGTGTAGCCACAAGCGTTTGACCATGACAGTTTAATTGGGAAAAAAATAATAAAGAGAGACAAAAGAACTATATGAAACATTTTGATAGATATGACTCAAGTACCATACATGTCTTCCCCCCTCCATCGTATCAACATTTGTACATAAACACAATTAGTCTGATTAGTGGAGGGGCTTAAATATATTTAAATCATGTAAAATATTTCCAAAGTTGCTAAAAGGTACGACGCTTTTTGCCAATGAACAATACAGGAATATTTGTACACCTCATTATACAAAGAGACCACGAATCAAGTCATCAGTTGTACAAACAGCATGTCTCTTGGGGTGGGGGCCTCCCTCTGCTCTGCCCCAAAATAGTTCCCCAAAAGCAGGGACCCCTCCCCCTTGTGGCGCTCAGCCCCTTCGCTCGCTGCTCCGGGAGGAAGCCACTCACTCGTTGGCTCTGCTCTTCAAAAAAAGGCAAAGGACCCCAAAGTTGCACCAAGGCAGCCTCCAGACCAACTACTTCACCCCTCCGTTAGTATGAGTTAAAAGCATGCTGGTAACCTCAGTGCTCCTTAAACATGTAAATGCACCAAATTAAAACCCCATGTTTAAAACACTATGAGACCAGGGGGCCAGGGCGCCTCCACGCTCTACATTCCTCCCCTTCCCCACTGCAAAGGAGTGTCTGCAAGACATGAGAATAAAGAAAGTACCATCAGGGGAGGGAGGATCCCAGAGTGCTCTATGGGGGGAACCTCCCCACTGCGTTCCTCATTGCGAGGGGTGCAAATGGAGCCCACCAATTGGCTCCGAAGGGAGGAGGGAGGAAGAGAGGCCGGAGGCAGTTACCAGGAAGCCTCACTTGCTCAGGCCAGAGCCCACCAAAGGGCACGACTGATCCAACAGGAAGTCACAGTTGAGCCCCACACGATCCAGGCTGCAATGCCAGCAATATGGGGGGAGGGGGTCCGCTCCTCTGCGGAACAGGGAAGGAGGGAGACAGAGAGGAAGGGGCCTGTGTGTGGAAGCCTCAGCAGAAGCACGAAAGCAAGCAAAGCGACCCTGAATTCCATTGGTTTCCTCCAGAAAGGAAAAAGTTTGGCCCTGGAAACGGATGTTGTTGACTGGGCTGGGAAGAGTCCTCTGGTGGCTCTCTAGCAGCACGGAAGGAGACGGGGGCGCAAGGGAGGAAGAGGAGGAAGAGGAGGAGCAGCCGTCGCTGCCTCACTTCGCAGTGTTCGGGTGGTATCTGTGTCGCCAAACCTCCTGTATCTTTTTGCACCATTTGTGAGCATTCCCACTGGGATCCATCAGGTAGTACGTCCGGTTCGGCTGGAAGCAAACACAAGTTCAGTGCTCACCCCAAGACCACCCCTAGCAATGGCCAAATTCCAGCCAGTTGGTTGGGCTGAGGACTGACCTCTTGGCCCCAGCCCCAACCCTTTGGCCGCCTTGCCTTCCTCTCTAGCTGAAAGGAAGGTGACCAAGGCCCCCAGTTGCCGGAATTGCCCCTAGGGGCCCAGAAGGTTCTCCCACTCTTCTCAGGGGCCACCAGCAGCTGGAACACAATCCCTCCCATGAAAAGCCCCTCAGCACTGAAATGGCAGTCAAGAAAGAGAGGCCTTGCTAAAATGGGCCACTTACTGTGTGGACAAAAAAGGTCTTGAAGTTCTTGGCTTCCGGCCGGAGCTCCAGGGACCAGGGGATCTCCCCTTTGAGGACCTTGTTGACAGGGTCCACGTAGTACAAATGGGGCCCTTCGGTGAGCAGCAGCTGGCGCCGACGAGCAAAGAGGCCCTGCAGGGAAAGGGCAAGGGCACTTGGCTGAGGGCCACGAGACGCTCCTGAGCAGCCCCTGCATTTCCCACTGAGGCCAAATTATGAGAAGGGAGAGGCTTTGGAGGACCCTCACCATTGTCACAGGGGAGAGTTGCACTCTGCTCCAGAATCAAGAGAGAGAGAAAAGCAGCTAGGAAACCAAAGGTACTTACCTTCCTCTTGTCTACTGGACCCATCTTCAGTATTAGGTTATTTTCTACGAATTGGTGCCTGAGGAGGAGAGAACCATCGCTGTATTATTTTCATCAGCTCAAAACAGGACTCAGGTGGATTTTAAAGTGGGGAGGCAGCAACTGCAGCCCTTGAGGTCCCAGCTGGAGCCAGTTACTGAGGGCCCAGGGTAAAAGGGCTTGGCAGCGGAGCATGCTCCTTCCTTTCTCCCAAGGCATTGATAGCATGAGGCACTCGCAACAGGAACAGACCATAAGTCCTTTGGGGGCTACCTTGCTTCCCCCCCCCCCCAAGTAGCCTCCTCCCCCAAATGAGAAAAAGGGGTTTCTATGGGGAAACTCTAGAAGATGATTGATGGGCGAACTGCTTACCAGGGATTTCCACCTGCCTGCTTTGCCAGCAGCAACCTCTTCTCCTCGTCAGAGAACTGGAGGTCCAGCTCAAAGGAGTTGCTATCAAGGTCGTGGATGTACTGCTCGATGTTGTTGCCCGAGGTCTGTGGGGGCAGGGACGTCTCCGGGGAAGACAGCGACTGGGATGAGGCTGAGCCGGAGACTTGCATGCAGCCAAACTGACTCAGCAGGTTGTCGTACTGCCCAGAGAAGGAAGCACGCTGATTCACTTGCACCCAGAAGGACACCCAGCCCCTTCTCCCTGGCTCCTTCTCAAAAAGCCGAAGGAGGGGCTTCTCAGGTGCAGCGCTATCTGTTTATGTGGCTCCCTCTCAAAAAAATAACGGAGGCGGCTAAGGCAAGACAAGGACAGGGCTGTTGGTCTCCATCCCCTCTGAAGTGGAGGGGGTTTGATCACATGAGAACTCACGTTGCCATAGCAATCCTCATCGTCTTCTGACATGGCAGGCAAGTAGGCAGTCAGTTTGGGCGGTGTCTGGCGATGAAGATCCTCCCAAGTCACGGAGTCAAAGAAAGGATGGCCCTTGAGGAGTCCGTAGCCCTGCATTTCCTCACAGCCTAACCGCTTGGTAGGATCTAGGACCTGATCAAAGCCAACACTTCAGAGACATCTCTTCCATGACAACAACAGGGATCGATTGTAAAGTAACACCCAAATCGGGGGGGGGGGGGGGGGGGGCGAGCAGCTCAAGCACCCATCAAGCAGCCAAAGGCATAAAAGGGAACCAGAAGCAGGTGAGGAGGAAAGGGAGAGGGATGGAGACTGTGGGGCCTAAGCAAGGGGGTTTGTGAGCCCAGGAGGGAGATATGGCTCTGCAGCCCGACAACCCAGAGGATGTGTTTGAGGGGAGAGGCCTCAGAGCCATAAGTCAAAGACTGTGGGGGGGGGTGGGTGCATTTCATTTCTTCTCCCATCTCCAGCACTCTTTCAATCCCTTTCACAGATTAAATTCACTTACCAAAAGCTTTTCTACGAGGTCTTTTGCTTTAGGAAAGAATTTCTCTGGGAAGTCATATTCCAACTTGATTATCTTTTGAAATATGAGATATTCATTTCTGCAAGGTAAACACACAAATAATAATAATAATAGTAATACCTTTAATGCCTCATGTGAGTACAAACATATTGAAATAATACACAATAAAGCAACAGTATTAACAGCTTACGACAAATAATTAAGCATTGTGATGAAAAATAAAACAAAACAATCCAATAAGACACAGTTAACCAAAACATAAGCAAACATTACAACAAATACCTTAAAAGTAATTTAAAATGGTTACATTAAAATGGCTGGCACCAGTGTTCACATACACACACACACACATACACACACACACGCAGATAGTAGCAGAAGAGCAAGACTACCCTAGTTTCCAAGACTACCCTAACACTGAAATCAACACAGTTGCTATGATCCAATCACACATGAGGTGGGCCAGGGAAGATATGTCCTTTTTATGGGTAGTTGGAGGGGCCATGCTTACTGGATTTGAACAGGCTCAAATCAGACATCTCTTTCCCTTCCAGTAGCTCATCTATCTATCTATCTATCTATCTATCTATCTATCTATCTATCTATATCTATCTATCTATCTATATAAAAATGCTCTGTGCATAATGAGTACCTTAAAAACAAAAGAACCAATGAACGAAATCACACCAAATTTGGCAACAAAACGTCTCACAACACAAGGAGTGACCATCACTCAAAAATTATGATTTTGTCATTTGGGAGTTGGAGTTGCTGGGATTTATAGTTCACCTACAATCAAAGAGCATTCTGAACTCCATCAACAATGGAATTGAACCAAACTTGGCACACAGAACTCCCATGACCAACAGAAAATACTGGAAGGGTTTGGTGGGCATTGACCTTGAGTTTGAGAGTTGTAGTTCACCTACATCCAGAGAGCACTGTGGACTCAAACAATGATGGATCTGGACCAAACTTGACACAAGCATTCAATATGCCCAAATATGAACACAGATGGAGTTTGGGGGAAATAGACCTTGACATTTGGGAGTTGTAGTCACTGGGATTCACAGTTCACCTACAATCAAAGAGCATTCTGAACCCCACGAACGACAGAATTGGGGCAAACTTCCCACACAGAACCCCCATGACCAACAGAAAATACTTAAGGCCATCCAGTCCAACTCCCTTCATCAGGGCAAGAAAACATAATCAAAGTACTCCTGACAAAGAGCCATCCAGCCATAGAGAGAGAGAGAGAGAGAGAGAGAGAGAGAGAGAGAGAGATAGATATGATTCACACAGATACAGTATCATCGATTTGAATGGGACCTTTAAAGAAGGACAATATATTGCATGTTCCAGAGTGGGCAAACCAGACACTCTCCACATCAACACTGACAAAGAAACAGCAAGAAATACTGTTTACCCACAAGCATGAAGAAATTACATAGATTAGAAACCAACACTTTCTCATTACTTTATTTTCCAGATCAACAGACTGGGCCACAGCAACGCGTGGCAGGGGACAGCTAGTTTTTATTATATTGGTTGCCCTAAATCAGAAACCAGGCCTCCCCCCTCCTTTACGTCAGGCAGCAGAGAAACCAGAAGCAGAGAGGAGCATGCCAGCTCAACCCAGAAGCCCCCCACCCCCACCACTGCAACCTATTAGCTGAATACTACAAGACGATGCCCTGGGCCTCCTTCATCCAGAAGCAGGCCCCAATTCCCACAAGGTCTTACCCAGCTCTGAAGGGTGGCAGCCCTGCCACAAGCTGATAGACGATACAGCCAAGTGCCCACAGGTCGGAGCTTCATCCATAACAGAGAGAGAGAAGGGGGAGACAAAGCACAGAGGTCAGTGCCAGGCCATTCCAGGCCCTGCAGATCCAGGGGTGCTGCCCTCGGCATTATGCTAAGTCAGGTGCTTAGTTATCCCTGAGGAGGAGCAGGCCAAATAGCTCACTATGGCCTCTCTGGCCAGTTGTTTACATGTTATTCAGTCTTAGTAAATCATTAGTTTCTTTTTTTTGGCTGCAAAGGTGACTGGGGAGAAGGGACTGAAATATCTCTCTTCCTTTTTCCCATTACATTCACACACAGAGAAATCTCCCAAAAGCATGCCTGCAGAGAGCCAGAGCACTCACCTTTTGCAAGCTGACTTCTCTGTGAGGAGTTCCGGTGACACATACTGCGCCGTCCCAACAAAGGAGTTCGCCCGGGCTGAAAGGGAGAAGTAACAGCCACCAAGAGGATAAATGAGCCTATGGCCCAGCAGGCAATTCCTGTCACTAACTAGGAAAACACAGCTTTTGATAACCCGAGAAAGGTTACTGTAACCATTCTCATGAAATGAGATGAAACTGCATGTACCTTGTCTACTGTCTGCAGATAATACTTTTGCTGTCCCAAAGTCTGTGATCTGAATGTGCATTTCTCCATTCAAAAGAATGTTCTCCGGCTTTAGATCCCTGCAGAAAGCACAGTTCAGGGAAGATCCCCAACCCATCATGCTGGAAACATCTCCCTTTTCCTTCCACCCAAAGTGGAAAAATCTCCATGCTACATAATTCCATGTTGCCCCCCAACACCACACATGCACAAAGAACCAGAGAGCTCGGAGCTTCCTGGGTGGGTCCCACATAAGAGGCTAATGGGGATCTTGTTCCCTCCTGTGGGAATCCTGGGCTAAGCAGAGAAATCCAGCAAAGGCAGCGGCCGGGGGGGGGGGGGGGGGGGGAGTGTGAGGTGGCAGGAACGTGAACTGCGGAACACATTCACTTCCTCCTCTTACCTGTGAATAATTCCCTTTCCATGAAGGTACTCCAGAGCAGCCACAATTTCGGCAGCGTAAAACCTTGTACATGTCTCATCAAATGAGCCAATCTTGCGGATATATTTGAGAAGCTCCCCATTCTTGGCATAACTGAGACCAAAATCTGGATGTTTCGTTAAGAATTATTTCTTTCAGAAGGCTATAGACTCTGTAGCATAAACAGAGACACTGGATGTCGTTCTAAAGAGATGGCTACTGGCCCTAGAAGTGGGGGTCATCAGAGAGCAGCATCAATCATGGCAACTGCCCTTTGCAGCCCCTGCAGCACCCACTTTTGCCCGGATCTAACATTCTCTGGCAGCTTTAATAAGAAATACAGAAATGTCACATGATTAAGACTTCACAGAAACACTCTGCTCTGTCCGCCTTTCTTGGTCTAGCACTTATTGACCTCATGTTAGCCGCCCCGAGTCCCCTTTGGGGAGATGGTGGCGGCTTATAAAGTGTATTATTATTATTATTATTATTATCATCATCATTATTGCCTTGACAACATTTTCCTCCCAAAGGATACAGAGCTTTTCATCGTCCTGAAATGTGAAGTAGAGTTTGACAAAGAAAGGGTGGTCCAGACGGGACATGATGTCTCTCTCCCGGGTCACATAGGGCACTTTGTTCTCTTTGATAATGTGACGTTTTTCCAGAATTTTGACTGTTCAAAATACAAAGGAGTTTCAACCTTTTGCAGCCTCCATGGAAAACTCAGAAACCATGCAGGTGGATAGGAAGGGGCCTGGAGGCCAGGCAGACATGAGCCCTTGCAAGAGCACTGCTTCACTGCTGCCTTTGGAGCCACCAGCCTGAACCCAACCCCACCCTAAAAGCATTACTCACTGGCATATTCTCTGGAGGAAGCCAATTCTCTGGCCAAGACCACCTGTTTCAAGGGAAAGAGGGATGCCATTACAATCCCTAGGAGGAGGCAGCCCTGCAGGAAGCCCCCATCAGGCTGCCAGTGAACCTTTTATGAGCCTAGCTGCCCTCCTGGCCCAGACTACCTCTGGTGAGCTGAAGTGCCTAGAGCCCACCTGGCCCAAGCATGGCAAGCGCATGGGAATGTGTGGGTCAGGGAGCACTCTGTGCCGCATCAGGGCATGCCTCTTCCCTCTTCCCAGCAAAGACACTCACAGTTGAGAAGGAGCCTTCGCCCAGGATCTTCCCAAATTTGAAGTCCTCAGGGCGCTTCTTCCGCTGTGGCTGAGGGGCAGGGGCCTGTGGCAAGGCGTTCTCCATGCTCAGCTCTGACCGGCCGCCACAAGCGGAGGCAGTGACGGGCGGGAGGCTGGGCTCGGCCTGGCTCCTCACCATGGATGGAGACGGACAGGAACACAACACCACGCTGGACTGTATGGGAACAGCATCATACTGCGGAGGAAAAAACAGGGTCACCCAATGGCTCTCCCCAGGGTGACAGTATAAGGACAGCAATACAGCCAGAGGCCTCTGGCTGCTGCTGCTGTAGCCACGGCCCCATTCACTCTCCAGCATCTCCCAAACACTCCATCTGGCAGATGAAAGAAGGGCCCATCACCTGCCTGTCTTCCAAACTTCCACTGATACCAAAGACAACCAATGTTTTGCCAACCCGCCGATAAGGCTCAGTCCTCACTAGGCTGCTCTGCAAGTGCCTCTCCCAATGAAAAGCCGGAGGCCCTCCTTTGAAGTAGAGGATGATCTCGGCTAGTTTCTCAGGCACCCATTTGACACCCCCCCCACACACACACACACACACACATTGTTGACCCTGAAGAGACCTTTCTAGACCCCATGGCTCCGTGGATACTGAGAAGTAGGCTGAGCAACATGGCAAGGCCAAGGAGAGCATGGCCCCCATCCCATACGGGTGGGCAGTTGACATTTACCAAGAGAAGGCTATAGCAATGGCAGCTTCTCCGACTGATTCCTGACTGGTTCTCCTTTTGTGGCTTCTGCCGACCACAATAGCAGTCATAAACAGATAACATACATGCTGAAGAGTAAAACCATGAAGGGAAATGTCTCCACAACTAAGCAATAGTTACTCAGTACGAGAGAGTTTGCCTTCATTCAACAATCTGAGCAAGGCCCAAAATTTCCATTCAGAAACATGAAAGCAATGCACCGGCTCAAGCTCCAGGCAAACAGAGCAGATGATAGAAGCCGCCAAGGCCAGATCTTTAAAGCCAAAGGGGTGAAAGACAACAAGAGAGTTGCAAAGGCAGAGCTAGCTGACTGGCACCAGAAAGGGATTCCAGCCCCTTCCACAGGCTGAATAAAATTTGTATTGAACTGGATTATATGGCAGCGTGGACTCGGATAATCCAGTTCAAAGCAGATATTGTGGATTATCTGCCTTGATATTCTGGGTTATACAGCTGTGTGGAAGGGACCTATGAATAGGGCAGGAGTTTCCTGAGACACCAATGGCCCCTTCCACACAGCTGTATAAAATCCCCCATTTTCTGCTTTGAACTGGGTTATATGGCAGTGTGGATTCAGGACTCTTACACACAGGCAAATAACCCAGATAATCAAGGCAGAAATTCCTACAATATGTGCTTTGAAATGGGTTAACTGAGTCCACACTGCCATATATTCCAGTTCAAAGCAGAAAATGTGGGATTTTATTCAGCTGCGTGGAAGGGTCCTTAGATTATCTGGCAGCAGGGACTCATTAATCCAGTTTAAAGCAGAATACCTGGGATCAAATCCTGGGATATAGGAACTGTCTGGAAGGGCCCCCAGTTCAAAGCAGATATTGTGGATTATTTATTTGCCTTTATATTCTTGGTTATATGGCTGTGTGGGTCCTCGGAATGGGGCAGGAGTTTCTTGGCACACCAAGGGCTGCAGCGGAGAAGCCCAGGGATAGGGGGCACTGTCAGCAACATGAGCAGGGGCAGAGCCCCTCAGCAAGGCACCTCTGCACAGGGTGAGGTGGGCAGCCCCCACTTTGGGCTCCAACAAGGAAGGGGCAGAAGCGCCAGGCCTGACCGTGAGAAATATTGCAAGGCCATGGAAGATATTGAAATGTTAGAATGCTTGCCTCATTAGTGGTTGTTTTCTAGAAGATTGTAGCAAAAGTAGACTACAGAAATACACACGTTATCTACTCTGTGCCTTGCAAATGCCAATCCACATATTACTGCCCCTCCACAAGAAGACACCACAGAGCGGTGGCAAAACCATATGCCATTCTTAAGCACCCTTCATAAACACAGGAGGACTCCCTTCCTCCAAACAGGACCCCCCAAGCAACAGAGAAGTAGCTGGGATCCACACCCTCTGCTGCAGCAGGAGACTCTTGGGGCCCAATTTGTGGGTCGGCAGAAGCCGCAAAGGGAGTCCCAGGAAGGAATCAGCCAGGGAAGCTGCCATCGCTATACCCTTCTCTTGGTAAATGTCAATTGCCCACTTGTGTGGGATGGGGGCCATGCTTTCCCTGGCCTTGCCATGTTGCTCAGTCTCCTTCTCAGTATCCACGAAGCCAAGGGGTCTAGAAAGGTCTCTTCAGGGTCAACAATGTGGGGGGGGGGGGTGTCAAATGGGTGCCTGAGAAACTAGCCGAGAGCATCCTCTTGACTTCAAAGGAGGGCCTCCGGCATATCTGGAAGAGCCTGGAATATATTTGAGGGAGGCACTTGCAGAGCGCTTCAGTGAGGACTGTGCCTTGTCGGGGCTCTGTGGCATCAGTGGTAGTTTGGAAGGCAGGCAGGTGGTGGGCCCTTCTATCCTCTGCCGGATGGAGTGTTTGGGAGATGCTGGAGACTGAATGGAATCAGCCAGAGAAGCTGCCATTGCTCTAGCCTTCTCTTGGTAAATGCCACCTGGCTGGAGACTGAATGGGGCGGTGGCTGGAGCAGAAGCAGTCCGAGGCCTCTGGCTGTCTCGCTGTCCATATACTGCTATTCTGTGCTGGACAGGCCTCCAGCCCGGGCCGCGCTTGGCCTCTACTCCTCCCTCCGGCTTCACGGAAAGGCAGGCCTCGCCCGGGGCGCTGGAAGCCCTCTTGCCGGGAAGGAGGGTCAGGGAGAGAGGCGCGAATTGGGGAGCAGAGGGAGAAAGCGCCTCAGGCCCGGGAAAAAGGCCGACTTCTAAGCTCCCTCCCTCCGGCCTCTGAGGCAGCGGGGCGCCTTGGCAGGGGCCTAGCCGGGGCGCCGGGCCTGAGGGGCGCGGCCTAGGCCTGCCCGCCTGCCTCCTCCTCCTCCCGCCCTTCCCTTCCCTCTCCTCCTCCTCCCCCTCCTCCTCCCCCTCCTCCTCCTCCTCCTCCTACCAGGGGGCTGCCGGTGCTGGCCATGGGCCCGGCCTCCCGACCCGCCACTGCGACCCAATGGGACGCCCGCGTCCTCCGCCACTGACGTCAGCGACAACAATGCCCACTTCCGCGCGGTTGAGGGCGGGACTTCCCGCCGGTGCGCTCGGCCATTGCCCTGCCCGAGGTGCCGCTCAACTCAACATCTCGTCGGCTCTCGCTTGGTGGCTCTCGCGAGACAGAAAAAGGAGGGGCCGGCCGGCGAGGAAGCAAGTGACGCAGCAGCAGCAGCAGCAGCGGAGACGCCCCTCGCGCTCCCTCCCTCCCTACCCAGAAGGCACCAGGCCTCCCCCCCCCCATTCTCTTTCACTCACTCCCTTCCCTCAGTGTCCCCGGCGGAAGTGCGGAGTACCGTGGTCCGGCGCTACCCACAACCCGATCATAGGGTTCCGGATACACCCCCCCCCCCAAATAGGCCTCTGGAGAGAAAGAATGGCGCGGTTGTGGTCCCAGAGCGTTGTCCACCAGGCCTCATTGCCTCCTGGAAGGAGCATGGGAGCCATGGATCGCCCCCAAAACTACGTGTTGAGGAAGAGTGGCAAGGGACAGGACTTTGCAGGAAGGCTTCCAGGCATGGGCCAACTTGGGCCCTCCAGGTGTTTTGGACTTCAACTCCCACAATTCCTAACAGCCGGTAGGCTGTTAGGAATTGTGGGAGTTGAAGTCTAAAACACCTGGAGGGCCCAAGTTGGCCCATGCCTGACCTATACTGTACAATCAATGGCAGGGTGGGTGAGGGTCCTGTTCTGCCTTCTCCACCCCACCCCATCTATAACAATAACATTTGCAGATGATACAACTGTGATGGGACTTCTTATCTCTGAAGGTGAGGAGTCTGCTGACCGGGATGAGATGGATCTCATGGGGCAGGGACAATAACCTAGTTCTTAACATCGATGAGACCCAGGAGCTCATAGTGGACAACATGAAGAGCAGACTAGAAATCTAGCCCTTGCTCATAAATGGAGACCAAGAGGAGCAGGTGATGTGTTTCAAGTTCTTGGGTATCACTATAAAGGAAGACCTGACCTGGGGCAACGTTCATAGAGCAGCACTGGTGAAAAGGCCCTGACCCCGAGAGCGGCGGAGGCCCCCGCTTTCAAATTGGTATAAACTGCAGCGGAGAGTTCCGCAGTTCCTGGGATCCAAGTTTGGGACCAACTGATGAAATGTGCCGCAGCAGGCAGCTCAAAACTAGGACTGCATCCAGCCTTTATCACTTTCCCCCAAGCCTTGACTTTGTAACCAATCCCTAATAAAGGTACTCGAAAACTTTTTAACCTTTCCGCTTGATACTTTGTGTCCTTCTCTGCCTAAGCTAACCCAAGCATGAAATAAACCTCTTTTCAGGCTCCGGGCAACCGCGGGCCTGCCTGGGATGCCTTCCTGGTGTCCCGGGGAGGCCGAATCTGCGTTAATTGGAACCGCGGATACGGAGATCTCCCTTTCGGATCTCGGTATCCGCTAAAATCTCAAAATGGCGGATTGGCCCTGTTTTGATGCCATATTTTTCTGTGCTTTATTCCTAACTAAACTGCTATCTTGCTTTTCTCATTTTGGATCCCTACGCCCGGGAAATAATCTTTTTATTTTAAAGAATATAATTTGACAGAAAACAGCTGATTGTCAAACTTTGCCGGCTCCACGCAAACAGCCAATTTCCCCTTGCTGCCGCTCGTTCCTGCCTAGCTCCGCAACCGAGGACTTGCTGCGGCTGCCCCCAGGAGACCTCGGACAGGGGGCCGGGCAGGAGGCCTGGTCCTTGGGAAGGAGTTATAGTTCCCCAAGGACCAAACTATGGATTCTGTTGCCAATCAACTCAGCGCTCATCTGCTAACCTCAGCCAAGGAAAAATGACTTTCTGCTGCTTGCTTTGGACTGCAAGCCACCTCCGTTTCCATGAACTTTCCCCAGAAACATGGGATTCCCAGTTTTCAAATAAAAATCAATTCTTTTATTAAATGTTTAGGATGTGGGGTGGGGATGGGGTTTTTCTATATGAGTTTTGTACTGATGATAAATGCATGAAATATTGCTTGTCTTCCCGCCTTTCCCCTTGCCTTTTGCCCTAGAAAAACTGCGACCAGAGATTGCTCACTGCCTGAGGGAGGACCCCCACCTCCCTCAGAAACTAATCTGATCATTCAACAATTGCATGGACAATAACAAGTTGAAATATCCCGTGCTTGCCCTCTGAGTTTGTCTAGCGGGCATAGGAAGTTTCTATGGACACTTTGATTAGATCACAAAAGGACAAGGACGTCCCCCAGGGTCCCCTTTCCGGGCTTTGTTTGTTTCTTTTATCAGAACCCATCAAGGACACTCCTTATCTGATTCCAAACAGGAAAACCTTTCTTAAGGAAAATCGCACTTTGCCGGCCAAAACAAAGCCTCAAATTCCAGCTGGCCGGCTAGCAATAATCCCATCATTTCCCCATTGTCAACTATCGTCCCGCCTCCTCGCTTCTGATTCGTCCATCCTCGGAGGCGAGAGGAGAGCGCTGATTGGCCCCCCCGAGGCGGGGAAGCTGCTGATTGGCCCGAAGCAAGGCGGGCCGCCAAGTCTCCTCCCAGCTGTTCGGGCCAGCAGACAATCAGCGTAGAGCCGGGTGGAGAGGGGCGGGCGGGAAATTCAAAATGTTTTTCTGTACTTTTACTATAAAAATGCCTGTAAATCTTGTACTGGTATGCTTGTAGAAGAAATATCCCTACACTTGCATCCGATTACAGCTGAATCGCAAATAAAGACACCTCGGTCGCCGACTTCTTCTGCTTTGGTGAGGATTTATTATTTTAATATTTTCTACTGCTGGAATTGGCTTCGCTGCCCTCCCCAAGGTTCAGGGATCCTCTTTGGTGCGGTCCTCGGGATCTCCTCGGCTGGGGAGATCCTCCTAAAAGCGGCTCGATATCAGGCCCAGCAGAGACTGTACTACCTGAGACTGCTAAGGAACCGACAACTGAATGGAACACTGCTTGTGACTTTCTCCCACTTTCTCCCGCCTACCTGCGTGACCGCATTTCTGTTTACAAACCCACACGATCTCTTAGATCATCTGGAGAGGCCCTGCTCGCGCTCCCACCTCCTTCACAGGCGCGATTGGTGGGGAAGAGGGAGAGGGCCTTCTCGGTGGTGGCCCCCTGACTCTGGAACTCACTTCCCAAGGACATCAGGCATGCCCCAACTCTTGCAGTCTTTAGGAGGAGCCTAAAAACGTGGTTGTTCCAGTATGCCTTCCCAGAATAAGGAAAATTCTCAGCAATATGCCCTCAGAATGCACTTTACTACTGGTTTAGGACTGACTGCATCACCTCATCTCTCTTTGAAAACCCTATACCAGTTATATCCTACCTTGTTCATGCTCAGCGTTTATTTTTTAAATTTTAAACTATTACATTTGGCCCAGCTATAGGTTTTTAATTCCTTGTGTGTTACTGTTTACTGTTTATTGTTTATATGTGATTTATGTTAATTGTATTGTATTTATTGTTTTTGTTTATTGCTTTTGTTTATTGATGTACTGTTGGGCTTGGCCTCATGTAAGCTACTCCTAGTCCCTTGGGGAGATGGTGGCAGGGTATAAATAAAGTTTTTGTTATTATTATTATTATTATTATTATTATTATTATTATTATTATTATTACTGTGCTATGGAGAGTGTCCTAACCTACTGCATCTGCACATGCTTTGGTACTGTGGTCCCCAACCTGTGGTCCCCAAGAATGAAAATATGGTCCATGGCCTCACTATTACTACACTGTTGCTTCAAAACCACGTGGCAACAAGAACGACTGTCTCACTAAACCCTCTTATAGTGCCGAGACAATGGGGATGTCAGGAGAGGGGAAGCTGATTACCCACGAAATATTACCACTACTACATCAGCTCTAAATGATTAAATATGGTTTTCTGTGGGAAAGCAGATGGCGAATACTGGATGGCATATGTTCTGTATCAGAAACTAGAGCTGATGTGGTCAGTCCAATGCAGTTTTCGGAATCAGCACCCCAAATAACCAAACCAAATCTAAAGTTGACCAAAAACTGATTCCTAACCCTTTTAGTACTAATGTTGTGGAATGGTAACTGCTCAAAAAGGGCTGGGATCACTTGTTTGGTAACTGCACAGTGGCAGACAAGAAGGCGCTCTAAAGAGTCACCACTTCTGCACAGAGCATCATCAATTGCCCTCTTTCTCCCCTCTTTGGAAGAACTTTATAGGTCCCACAGTCCTAAGAAAGCTCAGAGCATTCTTAGGGATCAATCTCTCCCAACATATTATTTTTTAAAAATTATTATCATCTGGCAGACGATACAGAGTGACAAAGGCAAGGGCAAACAGACTGGGAGACCGCTTTACCCTAGAGCTGTGGCTATGTTGAATTCTATAGTTTCATTGGGGGCCGTATGGTCGTGGTGGGAGTGTGGAGAGATGGGTGCATTGTTTTGTGATGTGTGCTGGGGAAGGCATTTAATTTTGTTGTACGATGACAATAAAGTTATTCTATTCTAATTGTTAGTCGCCTTGCAGAAATGTGCCCAGTCCTTGAAAGCTGAGGTGTCCTGTTGTTAGTTGAAGAAAGCCTTGAGCTGGACCATGGGGTTATCACTGTAACATTGCTTTTATTGCAACTCTGCAAATGGGACACAGCAGAAGGAGGCAGAGCCTCCGGGAGTGCCCAGGAGAGCATGGGGCAAAAGCCACTTGACACACAAACTTGGAGACAGGCTGTTCTTTTTCACCAACTGGGCTGCTTCTTATCTTGCCCATGGGGCGGGGAGAGCATGAACTAGATGCTTCGGGTCAGCCTTGGCCAGGAGCCGTTCCCAACCGAAAGCAGCCTTCAGCCCCTGGGCCATTCCCACTGCCGCTGCCTCCTTCCCAAATGCAATAGTAATCATTGCTGCAGGAAAAGAGGTTTTCTGTCTCCCGGCTGAGCCCCAGCTCTTGGAAAGAGGGGCTGCTTGAAGGAGCCCCCTTTCCCTCTGCTTTGGCCAGGGCCCCAGGAGCCCCAGAAAGGGGAGGGAGGAGGAGTGACAGGGGCTCTGTGCACTTCTCCTGCAGGTTTGCCATTCTTGACCCCCCAGAATGGATGCCAATGGAGTCCCCTCTGTTCGAGGGGCAGCCTTCATCCTGGGGGGCCTTGAAGAGTAGAGCAAGGGAGGAGATCTGGGAGCAGGGCCCTTCCATGACTTGCCCTTTGCCCCGATGGCTGCTGTTGCCGCTACCGCGAAGGCTATCCTCTTCTGTGTTGCTGAGGCAGACTGCTCTCCCTTTGAGGCCAGCCCAGCCCTGCAAAGGAGAAAAGAGGGAACACTGTTCAGGCCCTGCTTCCTGGAGGCCTTTCCTCTCAGGCAGGGAGCTGTCCCTTTCGGCTTTATGTGTGCCAGGATAAATAATGGCTGGACATGAAGAAAAGATTCCCAGACTGGACCTGGGAATCGTGCAGCTTCGTGTCCAGCAAGGTAAGAGCAGCCCAAGAACTGACCCAAGATGTCAGTGGGATGAATTTGGTGCCTTTTTGTTGCCTTGATAAAAGCATCTCCCCAAAATGTGCTTTTGGGATTTACAGGAAATTAATCTCTTCAAGAGTGCGTTGGACTGCCAGAAGATCCAACCAGTCCATTTGTTGTTCATTCATTCAGTCGCTTCCGACTCTTGGTGATCTCATGGATCAGCCCACACCAGAACGCCCTGTCAGCCATCACCACCCCCGCTCCTTCAAGGTCAATCCAGTCACTTCAAGGATGCCATCCAACCAGTCCATACTTCGGGAAATCAAGCCCGACTGCTCATTGGAGGGAAGGATAGTAGAGGCCGAGATGAAATCCTTTGGCCACATCATGAGAAGAAAGGAAAGCTTAGAGAAGACAATTGTGCTGGGGAAAATGTAAGGAAAAGGGAAGAGGGGCCGACCAAGGGCAAGATGGATGGATGGCATCCTTGAAGTGACTGGATTGACCTTGAAGGAGCTGGGGGTGGTGACGGCCGACAGGGAGCTCTGGCGTGGACTGGTCCATGAGGTCACGAAGAGTCGAAAATGACTGAACAAAAAAACAACAACAACAATAATCTTCTCAAGAGCCTCCTTGGATCACAGTCTGAGGAAGTGTGTAGGGGGGTGGGGTGGGGGTGGGAGTGGCTTCTAAACCAAGGTTGGACACAGCAGAGGGGCACACAACTCCTATGGGAGCAGTTTTTGGAAGAAAGGAGCCCAGATCTGCTCCCATTGAGGTAGCACTTACCTTGAAATCCCCATTGTGAGAGGCATAGAGGGGCTGGAAGAAAGTGGCAGGTGTTGGGGTGTGGGTCCTCACTCTGTCCTTCAGCCTGGAGGGAGAGGGAGGAGCCGCTGAGACCCAAGGGGCAAGACCCCCTGGCTCTCACTGCCCAGAGACCCCTTGCAGGCAGCTCTGACCTCTGGAGCTGAGAGGGTGCTCTTGGGCTGGCCTGCCTTTGTCCCCTCTCAACCCAGCCCTACTGGAGACATCTCCCTGGAAGAAGGTGGGGCAGAATGGGGTCAGTGAACAAACTGGTCAGCAGAGAAGTCCCTTCCTCTCTTGCCCCGATCCTGATAGTAGCCAAACTCTGAGACCTGATCCCAACCTTGTTCAAGTTGGAGGCACAAACTCATAGTCTTCCATGCAGGCAGCCACCGAGATGGAGATGCTGGGGGACAGGGCAGATAACATACCTCCAGAGGAACCTGAAAGACAGGAGCAGGAACAGCAGGGTCCCCAGGCCGAGCGGGAGGGAGGCCGGCCATGTCCACAGAAAGCGGGGGTCTGACTGCTGCTGCCCACAGTCTGCAAAGGGAGAGGAGGGAGGGGGGGGGGGCGTTAGTCGGGCAGCACTATCCCTGCAATGGCAAAGGGACCAGCTGCTAGATGGCCATGTGTCCTGGATGAAAGTGGTTACTTGTGTTTCTCCACCCCACCCTACTCCACCCACACTGCATGGTTAGGGGAATATGTCCCTCCCCACGTTCTGAAAAGAGAAGGAAGTGGAAGGATCTAAATGGCCGGAGCAGACCTGGGAGGGCTGCACAGTGCATGGAGGTGCTCCAGGGGCTCCAGGGGCCTCTGTAATGCAGGTCCTCATCTGGGACTTTGCGACGGATCCGGACTACTTTTTCTCCGCACTTGAGCTCTGAGCTGTCTATGTCAACCCATGATTCTTGGGTGGCAAAGTTCTTCTGTGTTGCTTGCTGCAAAGGTTAGAGCGCACAAGATGTGAGTGGGCCTCCCTTTTTGGCAGAGGTCACAACACACTCCATAAAAGGCAGAAGGAGCTGGACTCCAGGACAGCAGAGGGAGCCAGGCAGCCATTAACCAAAACCATTCTAACATAGTACTGCAAGAGAGTTATAGAAAGAGAGTGTGCTGTGATGCAAAAGCACAAGAAAGGAACAGTTGCAGATTTCAGGAGCTATTGCCTGGCCCAGCCCTCCTCTTGACTTGCAATTTCTTGAAATATCCGTCTGCCGATTCACTGGCACTTGTGGGTAAGGGCTGGCAGACTGTGAGAGCGGCATCTTGATCCCTCATGCTCCCATGGCCCCCCACAGCCCTGGCGAAAGCTGCCCCTCATCCCTCTCAAGCAGGATCCCAGAGGAATGGGCAGTCTCCTCTCCCTCCACAAATTGTTTCTCACCTCCCAGGGCTCTTTGTCATGCTTGAACTCCAGTTGCCATTGCCATTCCACAATAAAGCCGTCGTCGTCTTCTGCTTTTTCCCACTGGATCCGACACTTGGTGGCATTGACGTGGCTTTGCAGGCCGATGGGTACATCAAATTGGACTGGAAGGGAAAGGGGCAGCTGGGCACCAGTGTGTCCACTTTGAGCCAGAAGAGGCTTTTGTCTAGCTGCCTGTCAGGGAAGGGCTGCCCTTCTGGGCTTCCAGGGAAATGTCCAATCCCCCTCCAGTCAATGGAAGAGAACAGGACTCAGGCCCCCAGTGGGCTAGGAAAGAACCCCGGGGTGATTGTACAGGACTCACTGTGCAGCCTGGGCTTATACAACTCAAAGACGGTCACATTCTTGCCCGAGGAGGAGGAGGAGGAGGAGGAATTGGCATGCAGAGTGACTCTGTATTCATCGTTCTCTGTGAACTCCCCATCTCCCTCTGCAATGCAGCTATAGAGGCCCCCAGCCTTCGGGGAAGGCGAGAGACAACAGATGAGGCTGCTGCTGAGGCCTGAGGGGCTGCAGAGGGAAGAATGGGGAAAAGGAAGAGGAGACCCCTGAGCGCCACTGGAGCAACAAGCAACCCTCCATGGGGCAAGGAGCAACACAAGCCATGCAAAATGCACCCCTTTTTGCACATGGCCACGGCACTGCTCCCTGTGCTGTGTGGCTCCTTTTCCCCTTGGCTTGCAGTGGATCTTCTGCCTGGATGAAGGACCACCCTGGCAGGGTCTGTGTGCGTCAAGGGAGGGTCTGTACTCACTCTGAGAATTGGAGGTAGAAGGGTCCCTGCCCCAAGCTCTGGTTGTGCGGCCACCATGTGCAGGACACGCTGCGGCCAGAGGAGCTCCATTTGTTCAGGCAGCTGACATCCTCAGAGAGCCCCCCTAGAAGAGGGAGGGAGAAGTGGCAGAAATGCAGGCGAGGGGCCAAGCTGGAGGGTCTCCAGCAGAAGCCCAGGGCCCCTCCCTCCATTAGCCTGGCTCCCCCCTTCACTGGGCCCTTTTCCCACCAGAAAAGGGGCGCTTGTCTCCTCACACAGATGGGGTTGCATGGCTTTCACTCCTTCCTTGTACCTGTATCATGGTGCTGCCGCCACCGCCTTTTCAGGGCCACAGAAAAAGAGATGAAAAGGAGGAGGAGGAGATGAAGATGCATCAGTCTCAGTGGGTGGGCACCCTGGCAGCAGCCCCTCTCCATCAACAGAAACAAGACAAGATGGCTGGATGACCTGAAACAAAGAATCTTTGGGTGCTTTTGCAACTCGTCTGCTTTTTCTCACATGAGCTTTGGTGGGCAGCATTCTCTGGCCAGTGCGTATGGAGGTCGGCCTGTGCCCTTGGCGCCTGGGAGCATTGTCTCCGGGTGGGATCAGGGTTGCGCCAGATCACATCAGGCAGGGGCCAATCGGTAGCATGTTGTTGGAAATGGAAGGGAGCACCTGCCAAAGCCCACCGCAACCCTGACTCAGGGAAGGCTTCTTTAGGGTGGTGCATGTGTACTTCGGAGGTGAAGCATGGTCCCAAGGCCTGGATGTATGGGGTCTACATGGAGGACAGATTCAGGATGATCCTATGAGCTCAGGCCTTGCAAACTTGGCGTGGCCACTATGGGTTCTTTGGATTGAAACCACCCCCTTGATATGCAGGTTTTTTTTTTCCGTGTCAGGAGAGACTTGAGAAACTGCAAGGTGCTCCTGGTGTGAGAGAATTGGCCGTCTGCAAGGACATTGCCCAAGGGACGCCCAAATGTTTTGATGTTTTACCATCCTTGTGGGAGGCTTCTCTTATGTCCCCACATGGGGAGCCAGAGCTGACAGAGGGAGCTCATCCATGCTCTCCCTGGATTCAGATCTGTGACTGTCTGTCTTCAGTTCTGCTGGCACAAGGTTTAGCCCACTGTGCCACCGGGGGTTATATGATATGCAGTGTTGCGCAACATTAAAAAGGAGAGAGGGAGGGCTAGGGGAAGAAAACAGATCAGGTGGCTCTTCCATTAACTGCCCTGCAACAGCTTTGCCATGACCAGGTGGAGTCCCCTTGCCTCGACTCCTCCATTTAGCCAACTACACCAGTCCCTTGGGCAAAGGCCTATCTGGGGGAAAGGGAGACCAGGCCTCGTTTTTCTGCACATGAACAGATGTTTTCTTGTTCTTCGAAACAAGAATATAAACAAGCTCCTTTCAGAATCCCTGGAGATGGAGAGGTCAAATGGGTTTCCAGTCTCAAACAGGCCCTTCTGGGCAGACATTGCCTCCCACCCAGGCATGTAGCCGGGGGGGGGGGGGGCGCGGGGGGCTTCAGCCCCCCCCCCCGAAATTCTCATGGTGGTTCGCGAAAAGGCCTTACTGGTGCATTATTTAAACTTTTATGTTTATTCATATCATGATCTGATCACCATGCTCAATATATCCCATATGCATGGGGGTATTGGGGTAATGATACAAAAGGTTTGCTAGGGTAGACCCTCTTTCACTCAGACCCCCCCCCCCCCCCCCTGACCCCCCCAAAAAAACTCAGCCCCTCCCGAATCGAAATCCTGGCTACGGGCCTGCTCCCACCCCACCTACCCACCTCCATTCCCATGCTGATCTGTGACCCCTTTGCTCCTAGGAAAGACCACTCTGAACTGCTCAGGAGGATGAAGCCCTGCAGCTCCAAATTGAGCAAGCAGGAGGGCAAGCCCTAGAGGGAAAAGGATCTGGTAACCAGGTGATCGTTCTTCCTACAAGGAAATGCTGGGCATCGTGTTGCTGGGGGGGGGGCATTGCCGGGGGGCACCTGAACCCCTCACACTTCTTCTAAGAAGCATTTCATCGGTAGAAGCCTAGCCACTTCTACCACTTCTACTGATGCATTTGTGCCCCAGATCTGGACTACTGCTTAGGAATGAATTCAGGGCCCTTGGCCAAAGTGACCCCCCCCCCCCCAATTGTGGGGCAGTGTCCCTTTTCTTACCCAGGGGATCCTGTGCAGCTGTGCCCACTTCAGTTCTGGGCTCTTGGTCCTTTTTCTGGAGGAAAGGCAGAGGAAGCCTCTCCTGGCCAAGCTGAGCTCTGTCTGTTGCTCAACCTGATTCCAGCGATAGCCTACGCTGGGTGGCGGAAGCCCCTTGTGAGATCGTCACACTGATCAGAGGGGCCCTGCAGATGAGCTGAGGAGTTAAGGAGCCAGTGGCCCAGAACTAGGCCCACCCACCTAACCACCAGCATTTTGATCAGTTAATCAAGTGCTCATCACTATATTCCTGATCTAGATGTTGCAGCTGTTGTTTTTTTATTCCATTATGTCCTGTGTCCCTCCCACCCCATACAGCCCCTCAAGGAACATTACAAAGACCGAAACAAATACAGAGGGAAACAGTGGAAAAGTGTCAGTAAAAGCACGCAAAAGTTCTGGGTGTTGTTGGGCTGCGACATCCAGTTTTTTTAGCATTGGCATTGCTGACTAGGGGCACTGATGGGAACTGCAGTCCGAAATCATCTGGAGGCCCAATAACTGCCCCACAGAAGAGCTCACCCCCCCTTCCTGCCTGTTGCAGGGCAGCCTCCATTGCTCTTTCTTTTAGGAAGTTGTCTTCTGGCAGCAGACAAAACAGAGGCCACAATTGGGAACAAGGGGTTGGATAGGTCAGTTCCGGACCCTCAAGCCTTGAGCTTGTGGCCAGAGACCCACTGCTTGACGTAACTTGGCAGGGAGGCCTCCCTCTCTTCAGTATCCCCTGCAGCTGCTTCACCTTCTTCGTTGGGGGGCTTTTTTCCACTCTCCGGGTCCAGAGGGCTTCCAGAGTCACAGTCCATAAAGCCGCTGTCAATAGTGTCCAGGTCCAGGCCACCCTCAGGGTCCCCCTCATCTTCGGCCTCCGAATAGAGGGACAGCAGGGTGCTGTAGGAAGGGGCTTCCTCCTCTGGGATCATAAGGCTGCGCTCAGGAGGTGGCAGGAGAGCCAAAGTTGGGCCAAAGAAGAACAAGGGCCCCTCTGCAGGACCCCTGCCCAGGGAGCCCTGCACCTGACCCTGAAAGGGAGGGGGAGTGGCTGGGGCATCGTTGGAGAGAAGCAAGGGGGAGGAGGGGAGATGAGGATTCCTCTCAGGAGGGCTCTCCAACAGGGGCTCCCCATTGCTGCTGTCTTCAATCCTGCGGTAGGCATCCCTCACATCCACCCACTTGCCTTCCCCCTCCTCTTCCGCATGGAGGGGCTCCTCAGCAATACAGTGGCCACACTGTGGGCAACAGGCCCCAATCCAGGCATCATCCACGGTGACGGTGTCAATGGAGAGGAGGCCACAGGGCTGCTCTTGCATGGGGAGGGGCTCCGCCCATCCGGCGCCATCATGGCCCCCATGTCCAACCTCACAGGGGGGCAGCAATGCCAGGAGCTTGAAGCTGCCCCTCCCAAGTGCTTCTGGCCCTACTCCAGGACACCACTCTGAGACCTCCAGCATGGTACTGGGGCCAGGGCTGCCCACCCATTTCTGCAGAGAGGAAGCAGGAAGGGAAGAAAGGAGGTCAGTGGCAGAAGAAGCCAAAGAGGCACCCAAAAACCTCAGGACGGAGGGAGGGGTCTACCTTGAAGTCACCCTTGTGGCTCAGGTAGAGTGGCTGGAAGAAGGGTGCGGGGCTGGGGATAAAGGACTCCAGTCTCTTCCACAACCTGCCAAAGAGAAAGCAAGGGAGATGAAGGATTTTGAGGGGGATTCAGAAAAGCCACTTCATCCCAGCCACTAGATACGTTCAAGAGGAGCCCCACTGGCCGGGGGGGGGGGGGGTTCCTTCTGCCAGCAGCTTCTGTTGTCCCCTATGAGACACTCACCTCCGGCCCAGCAAAGCCAGGGGCACAGGGAGAAGGACCAGAGACAGCAGCAGCCACTTGGAGGGCCCTCTGGGCTCCTTGCGGCTGTCGGAGGCTGAAGGGGGGAAGATCAGGCCATGGTCAGTTAGGGAGGGAGAGGGAGGGAAGCCAATTACTTGGCTTCCTTGGAGGACCCTTCCACAGACCTGGCCAGGAAAGGACTTACTCTTAGGGGGCGTGGAGAGGAAGGCTGGGGGGCTCCAGGTGCTCCATGTGCCTTCATAAGGGGACCTTGGCTGGGACCGCACTTGGAGCTCATACTCTGTGCCCGCCTCGAACTCCAGGGACTCGAGCCACAGGAACCTTGTGTCTTGAAGGAGGAGGTGCTTCTGGGCTTGGCCCTGAAGGAGGAAAGGGTCAACAGTCAGGGAGGTCCCCCCCCCTTCCCAAAAAGACACAACAATTCAGCGGAGGCCTCTCAGCCTCCCAGTGACCCTGTACTTGGCTCCATGGGGGGAAAGGAGGGGCCTGGGAGTGCCTTCTCTTCCTTCCCTGACTCTCTCCCCCCCCCCCCCCCCCGCCTGCCTCCCTACCTGCCAGGAGCGGCCCCTCTTCTGGAAGCGCAGCTGGTGGTGCAGGTGGTCCCTGAGGAGGAGGTAACTCCGGTGTTGGTAGGGGGTCTCCCAGGAAATGTTGTACCCCGAGGGGGAGGCAGAGACTGTCAGGTTGAAGGGGGGCTGTGGTTTGACTGGAAGAGAGAAAGGGGTCAGTCAGGGCTCCTGGGGTCAGACTCTTCCTCCGCTCCCAAGAGGCCAGTTCCAGAGAGAACACCTTGGCCACCAGACTGCCCCCAAGGTCTGTGTTTGCTCTTTGGAGACCCCCTTCCCTCTGTCATTACACACACACATAATGCACTCACTGTTCTTCTTCAAGAGGAACGTCCTCTGGCATCCCTTGACAGCTCCAGGTGTAGCTTCTGTGGCCCTCACCTCAAAGGCTTTATCTCCAAGGCACAGCTTCTGCTCCGCCAAACAGGCAAAGTGTGTTGGGGGGATTTTCCCATCCACGGGGAGGAGGAGACAGGATTCGTTTTTCCCACAGTTCCTTGAAGGACAGCCAAAGGGGCTCCGGGTCAGTACTCAAGCCAAGGCCCAAGGCACCCAGGGGCAAGGGGCACTAATAGGAGACTGGGGTGAGGGGGCTGCCCAAAGTAAGATGGCAGCCGGTTGCACCTGTGACGCCAAGGGTCAGATCTGGCAGAGGCTTGAGGTCAGTTCAGTTTGTCTTAATGAGGAAGGGAGGGCTGCCTCATCCCACTCAGGACTTACTGTGCCCCTGAAAAAGGAGCCCCCTTCCATACATACCACTGTGCCGTGAGGTTGTAGAAGTTGGGCCTGGAGGGGTGGGGTTCCTCTCCCCAGGTGCAGGCCAGCATCTCCAGGTAGTCCATGAAACAGGTGAGCTCCTCACAAGCCGGATCCAAAGAGCAGGCTGGAAAATAAGTGAGACAGTGTCAGGCGTGGCTTTGGTGTGTGAGGAGGGCAGCCCTCTGTGGCACCAGCCAGGCCATGCTCCTGGTCAAAATAGTGGCCTGTTTTTGCTTTTAAACTGGCAGAACAAACATAAAGGAAGGGAGGGCTGGCCGAGGAGGGAAGGGGCAAGAATTGGGGGGGGGGGGGCTCATTGCAAGACTGGAGGGGAGGCCCAAGAGCAGCAGCCCTGCCTGGAAACCCCTCCAGAGGGTGGGAGGATTAGGACTTACTCTGCTGGAGGAGCAGCAGCAGAGGCAGGAGCAGCACCGGACAGGGAGCCATGGACTGGACCTCCTCCTCTTCCTCCTCCTCTTCCAATGCAGGCAATGGGGGTCTGGCCTGCACCTTTTTGACAGAGTTAGTGTTCTGGATAGAAAGTGCATAAGTTCACTAGTCATTACTTCAGAAAAAAAAAACAAACAAAACATTCCAGCAGGATTTTCAAATGTGCATTCATTTTGAAAGAGAAAAGTTATTTGGCTACAATTTGTAATTTCCGACATCCCACCACCACCACCAAATATGGAAACAACTGCACGCAGGGAAGAAAGACCCTATGGGTCTGAGCCGCAGGGAGGTTAAATCTCAATTGTTTCAGGAGATCCGCTCTGGTTGGTGCCAGCAGTTGGGTCGAGGGCCTTATCACTTTTTAAGAAACAGGGCAGGCTTTTCTGGGAACCTTGACTCAGAAATACGTCTCATTGGGTGCAGCGTCTTCCTTCCTTCTCACGAAGGGCAATTAGTGCCGCATCTTGCCTGGGGAAACGGCAGCATCTCTGGACTTGTTCTTCAGAAATGACTCAGAAGAACTTCTCAGAAAAGCAGAGGGAGGACTAACTTCAGTAGCAAGTGCTGGGTTGTGTTTTTATGAGCCGGGTGGGACGTTTTAACATTATGTGGGGGGGGGGAGGGGGGGGAGGATGACAGATTGAGAGAGGGCATCCCTTTCACAGCCCATGCTGGACAGGACCCACATCCCAATCCGGAGGACCCTGTTTGGCAAGTGCTCTCAGTGGCCCTGGCACAATTTGCGTGGCTCATGGGAGGAGGGACCTCCCCGGCACGGTTGTTGTTTATCCAAGCCTTGGAGCATTCAGCCCTTTGAGGTGGGGTTCATTTTTCCCATGGGGTCTCCCCCATCTTTCCAAAGGGCCTTCTGCCCCATTCAACCTGTGCCAGGATGTCTGCAGGGGGAGCGGGGGCAGAAGATGCTGGGGACAGCGGTCCTATCTCCCTGCTCTGATCATTTGCCCTCACCCCATTCACAAGGACTATTCTGAAGGGGACCAGACCCTGGGGAGGTCCAGGTCCTCTCATTGTGCCACGAGGCATTAGGAGCCAGCCACATGCCCACCCACCCTTTGCTCCGGACACAATCACACCTGGAGCCCTCCACCACCCACAGTCATTCCTCCCAATACTCCCCCACTCGGCTCCCACCATTACCGTCTCCCTCTTCCTTCTGCTGTTTGGCTGCCACCGTGTCACCTGTGGACCCTGTTCCCTCTCTCTGGCTCCCTTTCAGAGGCAAAAAACCCAAAGCCCTGCTGAGTAATAACCAAACTCCGCTCTGTGTTGACGTCAGTCAGCAGGATGGAGGAGGGGAGGATGTGGTGAAGAGGTTGTTGGTAGGGAGGAGCTGCAGGACCCAGGTGCCTCTCCTTGCAGCCGTCAAGGGCCACACAGGGCTCCTTGGGGTCGCAAGAGGGAGCTGCAGCCCAAGGGTCCTTGTGGCCGGTCCTTGGGCTGCAGCTCCATCATTGCAATCCAGGCTGAGACACAGCACTTGCCCAAGGGACCTCCCTCCGTGTTGGGGAGAAGTGCAAAGCACTGGTGGGGCAGATAAGAGACTTGGTTGTTCCCAGAGTGGACCAGAGGGTTGTTGGGAACCACGTCATCAACTTTCCTTGTACTCAGTAGCTTCTTAAATATTTCCTTCGCTTGATACATCAATGTAACTTTGTATTTTTATCTTTTTGAAATTAAAAAATTAAATTATTGATTCATTTCCCTCCCATTTTTGTAACATTTATTTGGCTGTTGTGTTGTTTTCATGCCAGTCAGATTATTTTCTGCTTCATTTAGGACTATTCTTGTTTTAACATTATGCCTGCTGTTTTCGTGGGGTTTTTAAAAAATGTGCTTGCAAAGAGCAAGGACCTCGCTGCATTTCCCAAAAAAATACTTTAAGTGGGGAGATGGAGACAGAAAGGGAGTGCCATTGCTTTGTGGCAGATGGATGGCAGTGTTTGTGTGTGTTTGGTTCCTGAGTCTTCTGTTTCTTGAGAACTCTCTTCCTCTTTTCTTCCAGGAAACCCACTGAGGAAGGAAGGAAGGGCTTTTTACTCAGTGGGGGAGAGGGGGCGATGCCCTAAAGGGGAGGCTGTGTGGGCAGAGCTTCCTTCAGCAACAGCACAGGAAAGGAAACGCAAGAAAGAGGAAGGAGGCAGATTGTAGAAGAAAAATACTTTAATGCTTTAAGAAAAAAAGGTGCTCGTTCTGTGCAGCCAGAGCCATCCTCTGGCAAAAGTCAAGAAGGGTGCTAGAAAGTCCATGTAGTGTAAAGGCAGAAAAAGGAGGAGAGGGGAGGAGCCTTCCCCAGACCCCTCCCCCTTCAGGCCCATGGCTGGCCTGGCCCAGCAGCATGGCTCCCCTCGATCGCACTGGGGCCGCTGCTCTGGAGGAGGGCCGGGAGGGGCTGGTAGGGCCCTGGGAGGAGGGTTAAGGCACTGCCATCTTGGGCTGGGTTGCTGTCTTGAAGCACAGAGGTGAAGGACCGGTAGCCGGACAAGAAGGAGGCCCCTGCACAAGGCAGGTTCCCCACCTTTCCGGTTGGAGCCTCCCAAGTAGGGTGATCTGCAGCCGGGAGCCAGAGTGCACTGAGATCTGCTGGAAAGGCACTCTGAAGCCCAGACAAAGGATTGCACTGCCTTGTAAGGCTGTTATGGGGCCCCAGGTCTTGCGGGACACCTCCCTCCTCCTCCTCCTCCCCTCCCACCCCCTCCTCATGGTTGAAGTCTGCTGACAGTTGAGGAACCAGGCTGCTGATAGACCTGTAGCCGAGGGCAGTTGGATCATCCAACCCAGGGCAGACCCTGCTATTACCAGGACTGCCGCTTGGGCCCTGGACAGGAAATGGGGATGCAGGAGAGGCAAAGCTCTGTCCCACAGGATGTCCAGTTCCGGCCAGACTCCCCACAGACCCCACATTGACAGAGCCCTGGAAGCTGGGTCCGGGTGGTGCTTCCAGAGAAAAGCCTATTGGGGCTCCCTGCTCTTTGGGAGGCAGAAGCTCAAGGACCCGGGCCTCTCCGCTTCCAAAGCCTCCATCCAGAAGGTCCCGGAAGAGGCCAGCAACTGCGTCTTGGCGAGGGAGAATCGGCTCCTCTTCTTCCTGCTCCTCGAGGAAACCCTTGGTCTTGGTCTCAGGCATGCGGCTGCAAACCACCAGAGGGGACTCGACCACTGCCACCTCTGGCATCAGGAAGGCCTTTGGTCTGGGGCCAGGGTCTGCCTCCTGGAGTACTGGAGGGACACCCTGGAGGCCCTTGCCAATTCTGTTTGGGGGAGAAAACACATAGACATAAGGCTCAAGTACTGTGCAGAACAAAAAAATCAGGTCAGGATGGGCTCCACCTGCCCCTTGGTCTTTTCCCATTGTCTGATGGGATCTTTCCTGCAACACCCTCCTGGCAGCAGGAAAGAATGGGATCAGAGACTTTTCACATCACTGTGCAGCTGATGAGCTCACCCTTTGCTTGGTCCTGGCGGGAGTGTCTTCCTTTTGTGTGGGATCTGCTTCCCAGGAGGAAACTGGAAGATGGAGAAGCTTCAGGATGAGACATCTGCCTCAGACCACCCCAAAGGGAGCAACGTCGTTAAAGCCCACTCGCCCTCCCACCATGGGGCGGCTCCTACCTTGGCCATGCTCTCGGCCATCTTGCTCTTGGCAGGGCTTGGGATCCGATCCCACCAGTCCCTTTTCACCCTGCAAAGCAAGTTCCACAAACAAACTTGATCCGGTGCTTGGCTGGAGGAAGAGGAGATAGCCTGACCACTTCCTTGGCCGAGGCTGCTTCTTGAAATCCCACTTTGCTACTCACCTGGCGAGGCAGAGGTAGCAGGTCAGGATCATGGCAACAATTGGGATGCAGGACCAGAGCGCCAGCTTCCAGGGCTCCTCTCCTGGCTCAAAATCTAGAAGGCATATTTTACAATAGAATATACTGTTTTCACCAGAAATATTTTTGTTGGGACTGGTAAATGATATCATCAACAAGGAAAATATTGGGTTTTTCCCCCAAAACCCACTAACAGCTGCTTGAATAGTTTATGCCAGACACTGGAAGGAAAGTATTATTCCATCTGTAAATGAATGGTGGACCAAACTGCTAAATTTTGCAGAAGTTGATAAACTAACTTGTCTTCTTAGAAATAAAATAATACAATGTTTTCAAAATAATTGGAAACCTTTTGCACAATGTATAATTAGAACATTTAAAAACTGATCTACAAGAGTGTTGAGTGATTAAAAATACATGTTGTATAATTAGATCACTTTTGAATACATTTTGTAAAATTTACATATATATATATTTATATGAATATACATTGCTTGATAGGACAAACTGTTGTAAGACGCCATCTTAGCGTAGGGTTGGGAAGTTTTCTTTGAAATGGGTTACATGTGTTTTACTGTTGGAAAGTGTAAAATTACTACTGTTGACTGGTGGCTTTGTATATCAGTAGTTAGAATGTGTACACTTTGGAAATAATAATAAAATTCATTTTTAAAAAATCCGGAAGGCAAGACCCCCATCCCCCTTATCATAAGCCTCACTTTCCCCACATGGGCATTGGGAGGGGGAGTGATCTCTTTGGGCAAATGAATAATAGGCAATGGAGCTCTGCAGCCCGGAGGCGCTCACCATTGCGCCATTCATATGGCTGGCTCCAGTCGCTCCAGAGGTTCCCCCAGTCTTCCAGCTTGACCTGGACCCTGGCAACGTAGTCAGAGGCAGACTCGAGGCGGTCGGCGAAGATGTCGTAGGTCGGCTTCTGGACGGTGGCATTGATTGCCTTGGAGTGAAGGGAGGCACAGATTTTGGTGGAGTTCCAGCCCCAGGAGGGAGGGAGGCAGGACCCAGAGGGACTCTCTCACCCTCCAACTGGCCCTTCGCCTTAGGGCCAGTGGGGTCCACAAGGTCACCTACCCTCTCCAGTTGGCCCTTTGGCCAGTAGGACACCTGGAAGTAGGCCATGGCAGTAACCAGGGGGCTTTCCTTGGGGTAGTCCCACTGCCAGGAGAGGTGGAAGGAGCGGTCCTGCTTCGTAGCTGTCAGGTTGACCATCGGACGAGGCTTCACTGCAGAGGGGGAGGAGAAGATAAAGGGCCTGGGAAGCCCCTAAACCTATAACCTTATTGGTATCAAGAACCAGATTATTGTCCCTGCACCATGAGAGCAGCTGATCTACCTCATCCTGATAGGCAGGCTCCTCCCCTTCAGAGAGAAGAAGCCCCACCACAATTATTTCAGATGTGAATTTAGTAATGGTATTGTTATAAATGGGGTGGGGGCAGGCAGAACAGGATTCTCACCTGCCCTGCCTTCCCTTGGAACGTCTGCATGCAAAATACAGGTGGAGAAGGAGGGAAAAGGGAGGGAGAGGTTTCTCAGGCCTCTTGCCTGAATCCCAGGGCAGAGAAGGTTGAGATCGGTAGACTCTTCAACCAGAATCCCCCTTCCTTCCTCCTCTACTCTGTTTGGCTCTGCAGTGGTTGCTGCCTCCTTTGCTTTCTGCTGCCTGAGCCTGGCTCCTGGATGACTCAGCAACCCATCCTTTCTTGACACTTTCTGTGGTTTCCGATGTTAATCGGCAATCCATCACTGCTGCTCAGCTTCTGTGGCCTGAAGCAATGCTTAAGTCACAGAATGCAAACAGCGCATCTGGGTTATCTCTCTGGAAGATATATTTATTTCTATTTATTATGTTTATTTAATGTTTATTGGAGTTCTTGACATCCCTGGCCCATTCTCTGTTTGGAAATTGGCCAGCATGCCAATGACTTAAATCAAGAAATGGCTTCCTAAGATCTACAGAGATACTTGCAGGAACATCTCAGCAAGCAAGAGTCCAAATGTGGCAGGCTAAAACCCGGAATCTCAATCAGTGGCTGTGTCTGGATGAGAAACTCCCTCCTGGGCACACAGAAGACTTGGAAGGTGCTGAACAGGCTGCGCTCTGGCACCATGCGCCAACCTTAAACAGGGCTACAATGTGGAGTCTATGACATGCAAGTGTGGGGGAGAGAAAACCACAGACCACTTACTACAATGCAGCCTGAGCCCTGCCAATGGAGGACCTTGTTATAGTGACACCAGAGGCACTCCCAAATGGCCAGCTTCTGATCATAATGCCAAGATTTTAACTTTGTTTATGGTTTTTAATACTTTATAACTGCATTCTCAATTTGCTTCTGACACGATAAATAAAGTTGTTTTATCGGCTATTAGGGATTGTGGGAGTAGAAGTCCAAAACACCCAGAGGGGCCAAGTTGGCCCAGGCCTGCCTTCAGCCCCAGCTGCCAAGGAGTTGTCCTTGGTTCTGCCTGGCTTTTTCTTTTTTCAAAGGGCGAGGCCCCTTGAAGGCCAGCACTTCCGGAAAGAGAGGGGCCCCTTCTCCCTCACCTAACTCTTCGGCATTCGGCGTGGCGTTCCAGGCGATCTTCCACCGGGCGCCCTCCCTCTGCTCCAGCTGCAGGCGGAACTGAACGTAGCGGAAATGCTCCCTGTGGAGGAGGCAGCGGCACCGACCATCTTCTCGAACCGGAAGGCAGGTCTCCCTGGGAAAGGAAGGGGGAATGATGAGGGGTCCCACCCTGCGCGCATGCGCACTCAAGGCAAGGCCTACCTACTGCGGGGGCTGGACGAGGAGGCGGAAGTCGCCGCAGTCGGAAGAAGGGGGCACCTCCCAGGAGCAGGTCAAGGCCTCAAGGAAGTCCGTGTGGCAAGACGGGGCGAGGGTTGACGAGGAGGCGGTGAGGAGGAGGAGGAGGAGGAAGAGGCCGAAGGGCCCCGGAGAGGTGGACGCCATCCTCCCTTCCCTCCGCTGGACCTCTCTCTCTGAGGCAGCAGGAAAGCACAGCAACGGGGGGGGCGGGGCGAAGGCAGTCCACTTCCGCTTCCTCCCTCGGAGGCCTCCTCCCCTCCTCCTTCCGCGGCCATGATGACGGAGGCGCACCGGCAGCTGCTCCAGGCGCTCCTGGGGCTGGGACTGGTGGAGGCGGAGCGGGCGCGGAAGCTGCAGCGCCTGGCTTGCGAGGCCCACCGCGGTGAGAGGAGGAGTCATGTCGAAACCCAGGTGCATTGGGTTGCTGTGAGTTTTGTAGGCTGTATGGCCATGTCCCAGCAGCATTCTCTCCTGACGTTTCGCCTGCATCTGTGGTTAATGAGTTTTTTAGAGGTTCTATTGGCAGTGAGGCAAATGGAGTCAGGCCCGTAGCCAGAAAAAAAAATGTGAGGGGTTGAATTTTTCCCCCACCCAAGATGTCTTTTTAGATCAGTGTCTCTTCAACAACAAGGCCCTTTGCATCATTAAGCAAAGGTTCTTCACAGGGGTTTTTCTTCCGTGTCAGGAGCGACTTGAGAAACTGCAAGTCGCTTCTGGTGTGAGAGAATTCACCGCAGGCAAAGACCTTGCCCAGGGTTGCCCGGATGTTTTGATGTTTTACCATCCTTGTGGGAGGCTTCTCTCATGTCTCCGTTTGGAGAGCCGGAGCTCACAGAGGGAGCTCATCCGCGCTCTCCCCAGATTCGAACCTGCCACCTGTCAGACTTCAGTCCTGCCAGCACAAGGGTTTAACCCACTGCGCCACCGAGGGCTCCCTCTTCACAGGTAATAGGTCCTGAATCACGGTTCTCTCCTTAAGCCCATTCTTGTCTGCTACAAAGGACAATAGTTTCCACAAAAGGCAGATTTTTTTTCTGTTTTTTTATGCTTCCTTCTGATTTCCTTTCTCATCAAGACATTTTCCACAGTGAACTAGGAAGGGGTTTTTAGCCAAGCACAAGTTGTTCTGATGGTACTCTGTTTTTTGGTGTCTATTGAAGATGTCTATTGCAATTTCCCATCACACAAATTGTCTAGCAACCAATGCACCATGTTTCTGATGACCACCTTTACTTCCAGTTTCTCCTCCAAGCACCGCACCGTACTTGCAGAGTGCACATTGTACATGACATGAATAGGCTAACCAGGGAAATCTGCTGAACCATTTGGGTTGAAATGGACCAGTGGCGGACACCCGTTTCCTCAGTTTTCACCTGCAATCCAGGTCAAATCCCCCCGCCCACAGTCCCACACCTTAAGCTTTGCCTGGTAGCTACCACATTTTGGCAGCTTCCACTATGTCAAATATTGCTGCTATTGCAATGTAAATTGGAAGAAAGCTAGGTACTGATAGTGTGAATAATCAAAATTGCATTGAGATAGTGCTTACAGTTCTGGAGAGACTCCCATTTTTGCTTTTCATAGACTTGGCAGGAGGATTTGGTTAATCAGTTAAAATTCATGAGTAAACCTGGTTGGTTTTTTTTTACCTGAAAAATTTTGGGGGTAGTTGAACCCCTAAACTGCCCCCTTGGCTACAGGCTTGGCCATGTCCCTGCAGCATTCTTTTCTGACATTTTGTCTGCATCTGTGCCCAACATCTTTAGAGGTTCTGTTTTCAGTGAGGCAAGTGAAGCTTACATATATTACAGATCACACTCCCCCTGAAAGACTGTGTCCGCAGCTTGGGATTCTCCTGGATCCGTCTCTCCAAATGTCAGCCCAGGGAGATGCGACAATAGTCAGAGGGCTTACTACTAACTTTGGCTGATCTGACAGCCGCACCCCTTTATAGAGTTGGAGGACCTGAAGATGGTAGTCACCTTAAGGTTAGACTTCTGCAGTGCATTTTACATTGGACTACCCTTGTACCAAGGTCAGATACTCCAGCTGATTCAAAATATGGCAGCCAAATTCATTATGGAAACATCTAGGAATGAGCATATTACACCTATTCGAAAGTCACTCCACTGGCTGCCAATTAGTTTCAGGCAAAGTACAAAGTGGTGGTACTTTGGACCCAATATCCCTCACTCTGGCTGGTGACAGCAATCGGGGTCCCTAAGCTTCCCTCTGGGGCTCCTTTCCTGGGCATCTGGGCTTGTGGTTGCTATGGCTGGTTGCCTTCAAGCCTCTTCTGACTGAGGGTGACACCAAAACAAACCAATCATGGGGCCCTTGACAGAGGGGGACATGCTCTGAGGCCCTCTCCTACCCATGTTGTAGCCATGTCTGGCTCTGCTTAGCTCCTGAAGCCAGGCATGAGAAAGATGTGCCATTCTTGGTTCCTGGTTTGGTGCCACTCAGTGCCTCGATGCTTTTTGGTCCCTCTTTTTGCACCTCCACTCAGTGCCTCTGTCATTGTTCAAAATGCTGGACATCACAGCCTTGTCTGTATTCCCACCTCCTTTAAGGTGAACTAAACCATCTAAACTTGGCTCTACAGGCTAATGGGTATGCTATGACAGAGTAAAGAGAAAGATCCACTTAGAGGAAAAGTGTTCTTACCATACGTCAAGGGAGCCACTGACTGCACAGGGAAGCTAATGAATCTACAGACAACCCAAAGACCTACCAAGAATGTTCAACAAATGCTCCATTCAGCAAAGGACAAGAGGGGTCCTCTAACTTCTGCAGGAGTCTACTGCATACCATGCTGTTTTGGACAAGTCTACACAGGGACCACCAAACACACCAATGCCCAAACATGAATCAAAGAACATGAAAGGCACTGCAGACTACTTCAACCAGAGAAGTCAGCCATAGCAGAGCACCTGATGAACCAACCTGGACACAGCATATTATCTGAGAACATTAAAATGCTGGACCACTCTGACAACCATCTGCAAGGCTAATCAATACTAATCAAGCTAACTAATTTCAAAATTTAAACACTTGCTTCAAACAGAAAAGAGTTTTTTCTCACACCCTGGACACCCCACAAATATATATATACCCCTCTTGTCTCATTCCCACATACCTCCAATCAAACCTCTGAGGATGCCACCCACAGATGCAGGCAAAACGTCAGGAGAGAATGCTTCTGGAACATGGCCATACAGCCCGAAAAACTCACAGCAACCCAGTGCCATGAATACTTTTTAAACAAAGGTTCTTTTTATTGCAATCTTCGTGTGAGAGGATATATCCAAACAACTTTTACACTGAGAAAGAAGGTAGACATAGATTATTAAAGTGACTTTGGTTAATAAACAAACAAAGAGGGTTTAACCACATCTACTCATCATTCACACTTACACATATAAATGTACATTCATCATATTAATCACATTCATCATTCTTCCCACTTCTTCTGGAGAAGAACACCTGGATTTAGGCCAGATTGCTTCCCTGCAAATCTGGCCAATTTTCCAATATTTCCAAAACTTCCAAAATGCAAAAAAGAAAAGAAAGAAGCAAGTGACTAGACTTGAGTTCCATTGCAGATCTGCCACTCTCCCAAATACGCACAATACTTTTCCGAAACACACTCCTTCCCTTCCAACTGGAGGCAGACAACCAGACTTCTGCTTTCCGTGCATATCTGCTGCCCTGCAAATGCACCACCCCTGTCCTTCGCATGGAACAGAGCATGGTGGGTGTCTGCCACAATTTTGGAATATTTGGTCTTTTATATAGCATATTTCTTGCTGATGTTCCAAACAAGTTGTAAATGAATGACAAGCAGCTAAAAATGTTGATTCCATCCGTTCCTGGACAGATGGTAGCTTTCCTTCTTAAGTGATAATTGGTTTCCTTAATTTAAAAGAGCATTGTGTTTGACTTTGCAAACATGTTGTTTTCTACCAACAGTTCAACAGTTAATCATTTGTCTCTGGTCACCAGCAATTCTCATCAATTTTGTATTACAGTTCAGCAGTGTAGTCGTTTTCCAGGTTTCAGTCTTAGGATAGCATCTTTACTCTCTTTAGGATAGCTCCCCAACCATACATCCTTCGTACCAAGTCAGTTTAATTTCCACACATTATATTTTGTGACAGGAGCCCAGAAAAAGATCTGTTGGGCTGTGAGCTGTGACTGCTCTCTCTCTCTGCCCTCAGTGCCTCAGGAACCGCTAGACACCTTCATTAGCACCATCAACACACACCTGCGGCCACTGTCCATGGAGATCCGGAAGGGCCTAGCCGAGGAGGATGGGAGACCCCACTACGCCCTGGTCAGGAGCAGCAGGAAGGGGGGAAAGGGACAAGACTTTTGGAGGAGGAGAGGGTCCTTCAGGGGGGCCTCCTCCTACAGTGCCCCCTCCTAATGCCCTCTCCTGCTTCCCTTCCACCCAGGTGAACCTGGCCGCAAATGAGATTACCCAGCTGGCTAGTGACTATGCAGAAAATGAGCTGGAGCTCTTCAAGAAGACGGTGAGCCCTGGGCCAAAGTGGGGCACTCCCACCCATTGACCATGATGCTGGGAACGAGACACAGGCATCTTCAAAATTCGTTTCTCCTGCTATTTAGACCCCCAGCTCCCAGCAGTCCCTGTCCCTCTAGCATGCTGGCAACGGGCTTCTGGGAATTGGATGGCTGCAGCCTGAGAGCCACTTTGCCCCATCCTTTCATATCTCCAGATGGACCTGATCCTCTCCTCGGAGAACGGCTTTGCCTCCTCCACAGCCATCTTGAACCTGGCAGACCAACTTAAGCCGCGGAAGATGAAGAAGGTAGAGGCCGAGCAGCTGCTGCAGAGTCTGGTGCAGAGCAAGTGGCTGCAGGAGGTAAAGACCTGGTGGGGAGATGGAGGAGATGGGGGCTTTTCTGTGGGATGCTCATGGCTCCTGAATATCTTTCCTTCCTTGCGGTTGCAGAGGGAGGGGGAGTACACCCTCTCAGTCCGCAGCATCCTGGAGCTGGAGCAATACATCTTCTGCCATTACCCGGACCTGGCCCACAAGTGCCACTTCTGCCATAGCCTCTGCATTCAGGTAAATGGGCAGGAAATATTGGGGGAGGGGCATCAGTAATCCTTAAGTCACCCCTGACCAGCCCAGCCGGCTTCCTTTCTCTCCCAGAAACCCATCAGCTTCTCTTCTGTTCTCTAGAGCCAGGTCTGTGAGGACTGTGGGACCGTGATGCACCTGCACTGCCTGGGCAGGTTATTCCACGCACAGGCTGAGCGTCGCTGCCCACACTGCAAGCAGTTCTGGCCTCACCAGGTGCCAGGTGAAAGAACCTCTACTTCCAAAGCCCTTTCTCCCCCCCCCCCCCCCCTTTTGATGGCACTTCTCTTTGCCCAAAGAACCAGGCTTCCCCCATTATCATGCCCTGGGTGGCGGCAGGAGACCAAAGGGGCAGTACCAACTGCCACAAAAGGTCCTACAAATGACCAGATGTCTCTCTCTTTCTCTCTGCTTCCAGCCCAGAGCTGAGCACACAGGACCCCAGCCGCCCTTAGGGGGAGCCCCAAGGAGGGCAGGAGGAGGTCTCCAGCCTCAGATGGCTTCAAAGGGCCCAGTTGCGGCAGCTAGCGCAGTTACAGTTGTTGTAAAGTTTGTTGAAAGGAAATAGATTTGTATATGTTTGTAATAGTTGGATTTTTTGGTAAAGTTTGAATTAAAACAATGTCTTTTAAAGTTTAAAATAAAACAGTTTATTATAAAATTTCAAATAAAACTGGTTTGATTCTCCTTGGTTAGCCACATTGCTTTTCATTTCCCATCAGCGGTGAAGTTTTCAATTTGGAAGACAGGATTCTTAGAAACATTATTTCGTTTATTCCAGTTCAGGTTCTGATTAATCCCAAAAGGGCAACAGTTCTCCCCACCTTCTCCTCTCTGGCTCCTCCAATACCCCATCTCGTGGCTCTCTGCCTATCTGCCAGGCCCTCCCAATGGCAGCACCAAAACGGCTGCACTGCCGTCCGTGACAAGCCCCTCCGGCTGGTACCTTTTCCTTTCCTCCTGCATCTGCTCCAGGTCGAAACTATGACCACCAGAAGCTGACGGAGAAGCTGGTGTCCAAGGCCCGGACATAGTGCCAGTGTCCGGCCGGGATGAAGAGGACCTGCCCAGGGCCCAGGAGGCCCTCCTGGAAGGCTGCGGCCTGGAACTGGGGGAATGTCTCCAGGTCGGGGTCTTCCACATCCACCTGGAAGGGAAGCAGAGTCTGGTTGCTGCATCCCATGCTGCCAGACTTCCCTGTCCCGAGGAGGCTGGCAATGTGGAAGCTCACTGAGGGCACCCACCTGGCTGGTGTTGTGGAGGAGGTGGCCTTCGTGCGGGTACAGCCGCTCCGACTGCTGGGGTGAATACAGGCGGATGTACTTCTGGCCCATGACCTGGAAGGGGAGAAGCGGCAGGGCTCAGGCAGAGTCCCCTCATGGCGGTCTCTAGACCCGAGGATGCCACTGGCCCCGGAACCCACCTGGACCAGAAAGTTGTGCTGAGGGTCATGATGGAGTGGGGAAACAGTGCCAGCAGGACCGAACCAGGCGTTCACGGTGATGTCATCCTCGTCCCCTTTGCCCAGGCAGCAGTAGTCAGGGACCCCAATGTCTGCCTTCAGCTCTGGGATCTGAAAGCCAAGGGAACATAGGGGAAACTCAGTCAGGCCAAGGGGGGTGGAAAGAGAGCCCGGAGTCCTTCCATAAGGGATCCTGAGGGCAGAGTCTTCCAGGGAAGACATGGCAGTAAAGGGAAAACTGGCTCCCACATTTACCTGTTCAAAAAGCTGGTGCTGAGCCAGGTATCCAGTGCGGTCTGGGAACTGAAAGGAAGAGAGACAAGGAGTCAGAAATTAAAACACAACTGAAGGCCTAACTCTTCCAGCAGGCTGACCCAGTCAGTTTTGACTATGAATTTAAAAATCACTTTCTATGTTTATGGTGTTTTATTTTTCATCTCATGCATTTTAATATGTGCATGTTTTAATATGTTTTTATACATATATATGTTGTGACCCACCTCAAGCCAAAAGGAGAGGTGAGTAATGAATAAATAAATAAATAATTGGAAGGCTTATTGATGTAGAGAAACCAGAATATTTGTGGTGGGAATCCTGCAGTGATCCAGATGCCCCATCTGTGTAACCTGGAAGGTGGCTAAATCCTGAATGAAGCAGATGGCAACATATTCTTTGATTTATTGGAAAGTTCCAACAGAGACTTTGGTTCTTCAAACCCAACCCCCTTCACCCTCCAAGGCCACACATAGACCCCTTCTATCTTGTGGAATAAAAAGCCCCAACCTCATTCTCGACGTATCTGTCGATGAACTCCCCAACAGTCATGAGGGCCTGGGACCACTCCTGGTCTGTGTAGCGGGAGCCCAGCTCCACCGGGACAGTCCGGCTGCCGGCCACTTGCCGCAGGTACGCTACGCTGCAACAGAGAGAAGCCCCATTAATGTCACCTGGGGATCTCCTCCAGCCCCCAAAACACTTGTAAGGCAACGGGGCTGAAGCTACCTGAGCTGGAATTTATCAAAGGGCACCCCACCTGTTGCTCACCTCCACTTCTTCATGCAGGACCAGTGGCTCACGATCCCCTCCAGGACCAGGGGCTTCTGGGGGACCAGGTAGTGGTCCCGGAAGTGCTCCAGCGATGGGCAGAGAAGGTATGAAATAGATGCCTCGCTCTTCATGGCGGGCCTCACAGGAAACTCCCTCTGGATCTTCTGCAGCAGGGAGCCAAAACAAGAAGAGTAATTTAAGCTGGGGTTCTGAGGCTTGCAATGCTCTGCTCAGAGATCATTTCCACTGCCCATTGAAGGGGTACAGAGCTAAAAAGAGGACCTGGAAAGGGAAGGGGAACAATTTTAAGTGGTGGATTTTAAATCCACATTTCATCAGTGGATTTTATCTTGTATTTTATCTCTTGTATGTCCTTTAAGTGTCTTATTACTTGCTTTCACAATATTTTGTCCTGTTTCAAGCTGCAGGGAGAGGCAAGTAATAAATTCCTGATTATGATCACTCTATTTACTCGAATCTAATGCTCACCTTTTTTTAAGCTAAATTACCTCTCCAAAATGAGGATGTACATTAGATTCACATCATACAATCATCTTAGTGCTGAGCCAAAGCCAAAGGGGAAGCTGCTTCAGGAGCAACTGCAGCTCCTATATGAGGGACCTCATCTCCAATTTAATGGTCCTGGTTCTATGGGATCTTGGGATTTGTAGTTTGGTGAGGCATCCACATTATTTGGCAGAGCAGACTCGAGAACTTGTCAAACTACAACTCCCAGGATTCCATAGCATTGAACTAAGGCAATTAAAGTGGATTCATTCTACATAGCTGGAAGTTTTGGTGTTCTAACACTTTTTGTTTTTAAAGAAGGAATTCTGAGCAGGCAGCAACTGCAATGCACACAATTTTTGGCCAAATTATAAAGGGTTTAATTTTTGTACCTGTGCATTACATTTAGCAACAAATGCTTTTTTTTTTTTCAGGGTTTTGGCAATTTGAGGTGTGCGTTATATTTAATGATGCATTCACCTTGAGTAAATATGGGTGTTGTGATGTGGTTTTTGGGTTGGATGGCCACATTCTAGCAGCATCTTCTTCTGATGTTTTATCTGGATCTGGCTGGCCTCATCAGAGGTTCTGTTGTCAATGAGACAAGTGCAGTGTATATATTCCGATAGAATAATGTCCAGGGTGGGAGAAAGAACCCTTGTTTGTTTGAAGTAAGTGTGAATGTTGCAGTTAACAAGCTTTAATTAGTATTTGAGTAGCCATGAAGTTTGCAAAGTCAATCAATGAGCCATTGAAATCCACAAGTATGTGGACAAGTCCAACAAAAAGGAGAAAAACAAGGAAATTAACAAAATCCGGTTACCAGTATTAAAAGAAACACCAGAATTAAGACAGTAAATAATGACCACCACTCAGAAACAACTTCAGACAGCAAGCAATCAAGGTCCAGTTAACACCTCCCAAACAGAGGATGCCTCTAGGCAACAGAGGCCAGGCTACCTCTGTATATACCCTCACTGATGGACTTTGCAATCTTCATGGTTACTCAACTGCCAAGTCAAGCTTGCTAATTCCAACATTCACACTTACTTTAAACAGACAAGGGTTCTTTCTCCCACCTGGACATTATTCCACACTTAAATATACACTCCACTTGCTTCACTGCAAACAGAACCTCTGAAGATGCCATTAGCCACAGATGCAGGTGAAACATCAGGAGAGAATGCTGCCATAACACGGCCATACTGACCAGGAGCCACACAACACCCTAGTGATTTTGGCTGTGAAACCCTTCGGCAATACAGGGAGGGAGGCATCTCAGCCGTGCTAAGGTGAGCTCCTGCTCCCAGCTTGAGGCTGGCCAAACTGTAAGTGCTGTACCTTGGGAGGGGGGGCTCCTTCCTCCTCCTTCTCTTTGTCCACTTCAAGGCCGTGCAGGTGCCGCTGGAGGAGGCCAACCACCCTCTGCAAGGCGTCTCCCGGGAGTGGAGCTCCCAGGAGCAGGCCCAAGTCACACTGGCGCAGGGCTTGGAGGGGTCCGCCCTGGGTGTCTTGGCAGAAGAGTCCCAGGGCACGGAGGAGGCATCCCCAGGCAAAGGCCCTGCGCCAGGTCCCCCGCACCTCCCTCCAAGGCCCCATGTTCAGCCGCTCCCAGCAAAAGTCGCAGGCTGCGCTGCTCAGGAACAAGAGGCGCCCAAGGCTGGGGTCCCCAGGTGGGAGGGGGGTCCGGAGGAGCCCAGCCCCTTCCTCCAGTAGCCAGGTTATAGCAGGGTCCACCTCCTCTGAAGGGCCCAGGTCAAGGGTCAGGCCCTCCTTTGGAAGTAGTGCCAGCAGCGAGGGCCAAAGTGCAGGGGAGCCACCATCGCTCCTCTCCGGGGAACACGGGGCTCCTTCTTCTCCCTGGAAAAGAGGAAGAAAAGGGCCAGGGAAGGAAGATAGAAGGATAATTTGTTAATAGAGCCCTAGTACCTGCTAAGTAAATTTGAATTATTGTATAGAATGAATATATATACAGTAGAGTCTCACTTATCCAACCGTCACTCATCCAACATTCTGTATTATCCAACACAGTTTGCCTCCCAGCTGGATCCACGGCTGTTTCAATACATTGCGATGTTTTGGGGCTAAATTAGTAAATACAGTAATTACTACATAATGTTACCATGTATCGAACTGCTTTTTATGTCAATGTGTTGTAAAACATGATGTTTTGGTGCTTAATTTGTAAAATCATAATGTAATTTGATGTTTAATAGGCTTTTCTTTAATCCCTCCTTATTATCCAAAATGTTCGCTTATCCAGCGTTCTGCCGGCCCCTTTATGTTGGCTAAGTCAGACTCTACTGTGTGTATGTATTATTTTATTATCATGGATTCTTAATACATTTTCATCACATTATTTACACTTATTTCAGTTAGGTGCAGATATTCATAAACCTTTTGTGCAAACATTTGTGATTCCAATTATTAGTATTTACACTGATTTTCGTTTGATGAAAGTACATCTAGGACATTTTGTACTTTTGTATTTTATATATCCTTTATTAACATTTACTACTAGATTTTAAGCAAATATAATCTAACAGGAACAATCGAGAAGAACGTTTAAGAAGAAAAATAGGAGAAGAGGAGAAGAAATATGGAACAAGACAGAAAGCATAAGAAGGTGATTCAGGAAGATAAGACTATTTGGTTCTATAGAAAGTAATATTCCCCTATTTGTTATGGAGGATAGATCAAACTTGCAAAACTTTAGCATCTCAAGTAATGAGTGTTATGGTAATAGAGACTCAGAACTAGATGTAACACAGCCAAATGTTATATGTTTTCCCCTTGTCTTCTATGTGATTTTCCTACTCATTGATTCACTAGATCAGTGTTTCTCACCCTTCCTAATGCCACAACCCCTTAATGCAGTTCCTCATATTGTGGTAACCCCTAACCATAAAATTATTTTCGTTGCTACTTCATAACTAATTTTGCTACTGAATCGTAATATAAATACCTGATATGCAGGTATTTGCACCCACTGCAAATTTGGCACAAATACCCGTTATGCCCAAATTTAATTGGGGGCGGTGTTGATTTTGTCATTTGGGAGTTGTAGTTGCAGGGAGTTATAGTTCACCTAAAATCAAAGAGCATTCTGAACTCCACCAATGATGGAATTGAACCAAACTAGGCACACAGAACTCCCATGACCAACAGAAAATACTGGAAGGGTTTGGTGGGCATTGACCTTGACCTTGAGAGTTGTAGTTCACCTACATCCAGAGAGCACTGTGGACACAAACAATGACGGATCTGGACCAAACTTGGCACGAATACTCAGAATGCCCAAATGAGAACACTGGTGGAGTTTGGGGGAAATAGACCTTGACATTTGGGAGTTGTGGTTGCTGGGGTTTATAGTTCACCTACAATCAAAGAGCATTCTGAATTCACCAACTTGGCACACTGAACTCCCACGACCAACAGAAAATACTGGAAGAGTTTGGTGGGCATTGACCTTGAGTTTTGGAGTTGTAGTTCACCTACATTCAGAGAGCACTGTGGACACAAACAATGATAGGCCTGGACCAGACTTGGCACGAATATTCAATATGCCCAAATGTGTACACTGGTGGAGTTTAGGGAAAATAGACCTTGACATTTGGGAGTTGTGGTTGCTGGGATTTATAGTTCACCTACACTCAAAGAGCCCCTTTCTGATGGTCTTTGGCGACCTCTCTGAAAGCCCCTTCGCGACCCCCAGGTTGAGAAACACTGTACTAGATATTAATTAATATAAGGAGAGAGGGAACAAAAATGAAAGAGAGAGATGGGGAAAAAGCTACGGGGAAAGAGAAGGGTCAGAATGGGCCAAAGGCGAAACCAAGCCTCTTCCCTCCCTCTTGCCAGCGGCCTTCGTGTGCTCATGCCTCCTTCTCCGGGCTTCTTCGGAGAGTGGTCGGGGTCTCCCTGGCTTCCGACACAGGAGGAGTTTCCTCCATGGTGTCCCGCTCGAAGACCTAAGATGAGAGTCATTCCATTTTATTGACGTTTACGGGCGTCCTTCCTCATTCGCGCATGCGCAGTTCCCGAATAGTAAAAAGGCCTGATGTCGTTTGGGCCGGCCTTCCCTCCCAGCGCGCATGCGCGAGGCCTGGGTTAATACCCAGCCCTCCAGGCGTTTTGGAGTACAACTCCCACAATTCCTAACAGCCTACCGGCTGTTAGGAATTGTGGGAGTTGTAGTCCAAAACACCTGGAGGGCCCAAGTTGGCCCAAGCCTGGGTTAGAAGGTGCACTGCATGGAGCAAACTGCAAAGGGATTCCTTTTTCTTATTTATGAATGAAGATCTGCTGAGCTCCATCAAAGTGATGTTTGGAAAAGGAAAGGGATGAATATTTGAGATAGCGCTGGAAACAATAATACATTTTATTTATTACCCGCCTCTACTGATGGCTGGAGGCAGAGTACAAGAAATTCGAAAACAAACGAAGATAAAAAATACAATAAATTACTAAATTACATAGACAAACACACACACATAGGCAGGCACAAGTTTATTGTTTGTTGTTTATTCGTTCAGTCGCTTCCAACTCTTTGTGACCTCATGGACCAGCCCACGCCAGAGCTCCCTGTCGACCCTGGCCTCCCCCAGCTCCTTCAAAGTCAAGCCAGTCACTTCAAGGATACCATCCATCCATCTTGCCCTTGGTCGGCCCTCGGCCCCTCTTCCTTTTGCCTTCCATTTCCCCCAGCATCATTGTCTTCTCTAAGCTTTCCTGTCTTCTCATGATGTGGCCAAAGTACTTCATCTTTGCCCCTTAGGCCCCTTTGCCCCTTAGCATAAAAGGAGGATGCCAGCGGAGGACCAGTCATACAGCACCATTCAAGACAGCCAAAGAAGACCTTGGGATAGTGGTTCTCAGCCTATGGGTCCCCAGGCGTTTTGGCCTGCAGCTCCCAGAAATCCCAGCCAAGTTATCAGCTATTAGGAATTTTGGGAATTGAGGTCTGGTGCATCTGGGGACCCATGGGTTGGGAGGCACTGCCTTCGGATCATGACAAGGGAAGGGGGAGGCCCTAGTAGGGTGCTTAAAGGATTGGTACAATGTGTTATCTGTGTATGGGGTTATTATGGTTTAATATGTTTAATGGTTTAAATGGTATTAAATGCTTATTGTTTCTAGTGATTTTATGTTATGTTTTATATGGTTTGTGTACCGAGGCATTGAATTTTTGCCTAGATGTATGTTGTATGCTGCTCTGAGTCCCCCGAGGGGTGAGAAGAGCAGGATAGAAATGAATTAAATAAATAATTGGATCTTGTCGCGGTCCAAGGCACTCTCAGAATTTTCCTCCAACACCACAGTTCAAAAGCATCTATCTTCCTTTGTTCAGCCTTCCTTATGGTCCGGCTCTCGCATCAATAGGTTACTATGGCGAATACCATTGCTTTAACTATGTGGATCTTCGTTGTCAGTGTGATGTCTCTACTCTTCACTATTTTATCTGGAACACCTCAGCAAGCGAGAGTCCAAAAGAGGCAGGCTCAAACCCAAAACCTCAATCAATGGCTGATACCAAATGAGAGACTCCCCCCTGGGCACACAGAAGACTGGGCGACTTGGAAGGCGCTGAACAGACTGCGTTCTGGCACCACGAGATGCAGAGCCAACCTGAAGAAATGGGGCTACAAAGTGGAATCCACGACATGCGAGTGTGGAGAAGAGCAAACCACTGACCACCTGCTGCAATGCAACCTGAGCCCCGCCACATGCACAATGGAGGACCTCCTTGCAGCAACACCAGAGGCACTCCAAGTGGCCAGATACTGGTCAAAGGACATTTAATCAACTACCAAGCTTGCAAACTCTGTTTTGTCTATTTGTTAAAAATTTGTTAAAAATGTAATACAGTTGTCTGGTTGTTGCTCTCCTCCCAAGAAGAAAACATCTACTGATTTCCTGGCTGCAGTCTGCATCTGCAGTAATCTTCACACCTACAAATACAAAGCCTGACACTTTGTATCAGATACTGAGTAATATCTGTTGCGCATCAAGCGGATCTTAGCCACGTCTCATGCACAAGACACACAGACAAGAGGAAAAATGAACAGAAAAATCTTTACTCTTAATAGCAGAGATGAAACACAAACTTGCAATGTTGCATACAAAAACAAACTGCAAGAAACTTACATAGTCTTTGTGAGTAACACAAAATAAGGCATCTTCATCTTAAGTCAAATGAGAGAGCAAAACATAGATCTTGAGTAAACGGCTATTCCACCATAGCCTCCTTTAGAGCAGCATAACAGCGTTCCTCAAAGAAAAAACTCTCCAGTACTGTATTGTAAAATCTCATACAGTTATACCCTATCGGATGTGGCCCAAGCTTGCTGGTTGGCCTACATTACCAGCTGCACATAATAATTACCATCATAAAGTTTTCCTTCAACACACACACACACACACACACTTGGTTCTGCTACAACTTACTGTAACAATATCTGGTTACTAATATTAAAAACACCAGAATCAAGACAGTAATAAAGCACACCACTCAGAAATAGGCATTCCGGACAGCAAACAACCAAGTGCCAGTTAACACTTTCCAAACATAGGATGCGTCCAAGCAACAGAGACCTGGCTACCTCTATGCAGATACTCCCACTGATTGACTTTACAGCTGCGAGGCTATTCAATGCTAATCAAGCTCGCTAATTGCAACATTCACACTTGCTTTAAACAGACAAGGGTTCTTTCTCTCACCCTGGACCTTCCACAGTATATATACTCCAATTGCTTCACTGCCAACAGAACCTCTGAAGATGCCATTAGCCACAGATGCAGGCAAAACATCAGGAGAGAATGCTACTGGAACATGGCCATTCTGCCAGAAAAACTCACAGCAACCCAAGATAGGTTCTATAGGTTTGTTCTTAAGTTGAATTTGTATGTAAGTCAGGACAGGTACATTTTTTCAGTACCTTCTCACAAACGCCAACAAACCCAGATCGAAGCCTGGTCACTTTCTCTCTCTCCAGCCCAACCTGAGGCATATTTTCAAAAGACAGCATCTGTTTGCTTGTATCCATTTATGTGTCATTCTTCCCCTGGCAAGGCTTTCCGGGTGACTCATAGCCAGCCGTACGGGCTTGTGGTCCAAGAAGCGGGGGGGGGGGGGGGGGGCACATCCAGCCACATAGGGAAGGCAATGGGGCCAAAGGGGTACTCACCCCTGGCAAAGAACAGACAGTAAACGTTAAAGAATGGTCACAATGAGCAACCCCCCCTTTAGGCTGGGGAGGGGTGGATGGGATGTGTGCATCTGAGTTGCTCCCCTTGCATTTTGGAGTGGGGGGGGGGGGCATTCAGGAGAGGGGTCTGTAATGACCAGGATGTCCCTATCACCCTCTTCTTATTTTGTGTTTTTATCTGCACCGCCATCTGCTCCAAGGAGAACGGCAGATGTCGGGTCGTGCAAATGGCTCAGTTGTGTACTTTCATGTCGAACAACATATTGTCATAATTTCTCTGGTATTATGGGGCGGAACAATGAGGCCCATGGTAAGGTGACATCAGTCCCAATGTTTTTCCGGGGACGGGGGAAAGAAAAGGGAAGCCTTCTCCATCATCATCATCATTGTCATCATCGTCGTCATCATCATCACCATCATCCTGTCTTTGTTAAGTTTTCTGAAAGAGCTGGGTATGTTTTAGCCTGCAGAAGAGAAAGTTGAGAGGAGACATGAGAGCCATGTATAAATATGTGAAAGCATGCCATAAGGAAGAGGGAGGAGTCTTGTTTTCTGCTGCCTTGGAGACCATGACTCGGAAGAATGGGTTCAAATTATAGAAAGGAGATTCCACTAAAACATTAGGAAGAACTTCCTGACTGTAAGAACTGTTCAGCAGTGAAACGCTCTGCCCCAGAGTCCGGTGGAAGCTCCTACCTTGGAAACTTTTAAACAGAGGCTGTATGGCAATCTGTCAGGGGTCCTTTGATTGTGCTCTTCCTGAATGGCAGGGGGTTTGTCTAGATGGCTTAGGTGGTCTCTCCCAACTCTATTATTCTATTATTCCAGAGAGAAGATCTGCCTACACAGCTCCCTCCTCTGCCAGGATGGCCTCGCTCTGATCTACATTTCTTCCCACTTTCCTCCCATCCATTGCCAGGTCCAGGGCTGTCCTGGCTACTTTCCACTGATTGCCTCCTATATGGATCCATCCAGCCTCCTTTGACACTTTCATGGCCATTTTAGATGGGGCCAAGCCCCCCAGGAACCAGCGCTGGGCCTCCCTTAGTCTGTGCTCTACTCTTGCTGCAGAGAGCCGTTCTGGTCTTTTCTGCCACTGTATGGCCCTCCCTGTGAGCCCCCCACCTCTTGCAGTGTCTCTTTACTCTTACTTTTGAGACCCAGAGCCATGTTTGCACAGAGTTCCTGGGTCCCTTGACTTTGGCGTCTTTTGCTGTGTTTTAAAAACACTGCCAGCATCTGCATGTACCACAAATTAAATTAGGCTTGGATTTTATTATCCCTTTTATTTAATTTATCTTAACTGTTGCTTTCAAGCTGTGAACCAGCTGTTGCCTGTAGAAAAAAAAGAATTTTAATTTGATAGGCGCCTTTTAAAGCGTCCCTATAAATGAAGTAAGTAATCACCATGGCCAAGCATGGAGTTGTTTTTTTTTAGGGGGGGGGGGGAGCTATGGCCAGACCTCTTCCCTTGAATAATTGTGGCCATAGTTTGGGCAGGACCAAGGCTGGACTAATGGCCCATCAAGAGGTGGCCACTTACTAGCCACAGAGTTCTCTGGGTTTCAGAGAAGGTGCTGCCTTTGACCCCAGGGCCCCGACGGTGCTGATATGTGTCTCTCCTTAACATTTGGACACTGTCCCCACAAAACCACTCCATTGGGCCTTTATCTGAATGCGGATGTTCCTTGCCTCTCCACCTCCTTCCCATCTGAAGCACAGAGGCTCCAAATCAGTGCTTGGAATTGGAAATGTACCAGCTGGAAGTAAACAAATGGGAATTAAATCTGGGCAGAGGAGAGATTTTTCTGGGAGGGCTCTTCCGCATCTCACCCCATAGAAATGTAT